AAATGGAATATCCTGTGAGGTAGTAAGTTTGATATTAATGGAAATGAGAGAACGGAAAAAAGTGGTTTGCCCTGCAAAGGCCTGTATAGACATTAAGTACGCAGTGGAGTCATTGAAAACAGATACAGATACTCAGCACACTGTTAACTGTGTACATTAGTTCTCTGGCCCAACACAATTCCTACATCCTTTCATGGGTTCAGAGAGCTTTAAAGGACTTAGTTCTGAATTGTTTTTACATACTAGGAAGGCTGTAGGTCTGTTTTATGTTCTTGTTTTGTTTTCAGGTTATAGTATGTTTGCCTTCAATTTTTATTTGCTTGATTAGTAGTAAATCTTTCTGTGAAAGAAAATAAGTAGTTAAATCTTTTCTGAGAAGGATCTTTTGGAATATAAACCTATTATTTATGGATTGAAGAATAGTTGCATGGTTTATATGTAGCTTGACCGTTTAGGGCTGCGAAGGTTGAAGCTCTGGGGCGGCCTGTTGAGAGGCTATATTTGGCATTACTTAGTATTAGGAACTCGGTCTCCTGCCCAGTGAAACCTATCCACGGTGTTCCAAACATGGGGCAAACAGTATTAAATACTCCCAGGATGTTCCTTCTGGTGAATTCAGCAGACATCTACCATGTGCCAAGCACAATGCTGGCATAGTCACTAGGGACACTTAAGAAGAAACCTAACAATCCAGCGTGAAGAGGGGGAAGGAATAATTGAATTCTTTCTTATCTTTGAGAGTCTTTAATGTAGAGAAGCTTTCTTTGGCCCTTGCTGTCAATATTACTCTTTTTGCTTAGAGGTAAAAAATAGAATCTGCATTAAAAAAAAAAACTTATTTATTTGGCAGTGCTGGGTCTTAGTTGCGGCATATGAGATGTAGTTCTCTGACTAGGGATCAAACCCAGGTCCCGTGCATTGTGAGCATGGAATCTTAGCCACTGGACCACTAGGGAAGTCTCAAAATCTGTTTTTAATGATATAGAAGCCATGTAATTATATACCTTAAGACTTTTGCTTTAAGTAAAATGTATCTGTTCTTCCAAAGACAAGTGGTTTGGTGGTGAATGCTTGTGTTTCAAAAAGAGTGATGGGAAAGAAAAAAGAGTGATGGGTCTGGAAACTGTCCTCTCAGGTGGCTCTGCAAAACAGTTTAAAAGATAAACCCTTGCTCCAAGTGACAGGATTGTATCTGAAATGATTTCAGAAGGCTGTTTGAATTCTGCACCTGGGTTTTAAATTAAAAAGAGGGGGGCATAGAACAACAGTAGTGTCAGTACAAGATGGAGGAGGAGGACATTTTGCAGCTGAGGAGGGTTTATGAGAAAGAACTTGAGGGCCTTAGTGACTCATCTCACCCTGAATCAGCGTGTGGTGTGGCTGCCAGAGTGAGCAATCTTAGGATGCATTAACAGTGCCTAAATAGTTTTCAGTATCCCAGTGAAGGAGAACAAACTGGAATTGATTCTGTGGCAAATAGTGTGATGATGTGGATAGGGATCCTCGTCATCTGAAGGATCTTGGTTGGAAAGTTCAAGGATATTTGGATCATACCAGCCCTTAACTTAGGAGTTCAGGAACTGTGTTCTATGTTTCTGCCTGCTAGCGTGTGTTCAGTAGTTGGATTCTCTAATATTGCTGGTGTAGGAACATGGCTGTCTTATTCTAAATGAAACATCATGTTAAAGAAGAGTAGGCATTGCTGAAGAAACAAAATCTCCTTTGGAAGAAGTTTGAACAGAAACCAAATGCTAGATGCTTGTAACATGTAAAAGGTGCTAAGTTATTTTCCAAGGTGGTATTTGTCTGTCTCACTCTCCATAATATTTTTAGAGCATAGATGTGGAAGCAATGTTAGAAATGGGAAAAGCTATGTGTAATGGCAGTGACATTTAAAAAGTCTTCAAAATAAAACTGAGTTGTTTTGAATGAATTTTAGTAATTTGATCAGATAACTTCAGATATGGTTGTCCCTGCCTTACACTAAAATATTTGTGTTTTATATATGTTTATGTATATCAAGAGAAAAGACTTCTCAATCTTTTGGACCTTTCCCTTTTTTATGTGACTTGCTTTTTCATAGTCTTCAGGTGACAGCTTAAATGCCATCTCTGGACCATCCTACCTAAATAAGTCACTCTGCGTATGTGGGCTCAGTTAGGTTAGACTCTCTGTGACCCCATAGACTGTAGCCCGCCAAACTCCTCTGTCCATGAAATTTTCCAGGCAAGAATACTGGGGTAGGTTGCCATATCCTACTCTAGGGGATCTTCCCGACCCAGGGATTGAACCCGAGTCTCTTGCTACCACACTTTATAAATTTGCCTATATTTATTTATTTATTTATTTGCCTATATATTTATTTTTTTTTTTTTGCCATCTTCTAGTACTTACCAGAGTTATGTTTTTGCTTGCTCACTTGATGATTGTCTATCTGCAACTCTAGATTATAAGTTCCATGGAGGCAAAGACCAAGTCTGCTTTAATTTATCATTGTTTGTTCACTTTCAAGAGTTCTCCTGAATGAGTTAAGGTATTCATTTGATCTATTTCCAGCTCTGGTTTTGTAACATCCAGGGTTATTCCTCTTAACTCTCAGGGATAGTGGTGTTTTAATTTCAGCTCACATTAAAGGAGTTGTGAAAGTGAGGGTGGTGTCACAGTAAGTGACTCTTGAATATACTTGTCAACTCTAGTAAGTTTAATATATATAAAACTGTTAAATTTGGCTCTATTTGTATTTAAGTGACAGCTTTTTCTTCCTGTTAATGAAAATGTCTTAGTTTTCCAATGTCTGGGAGTGGAAATGAGTATTTCCTGTTTTACTAACTTGTTCCCCCATTTCCTTTTTTCTTTCTTTTTTTAATTTTTGTTTTTGGCCACGTAGCAGGGCTTGCAGGGTCTTAGTTCCTTGACCAGTGATTGAATCTGCACTCTTGGCAGTGAAAGTAGAGAGTCCTAACCACTGGATCACCAGGGGGTTTCCTCCCTTTTCTTTTAAAGTTTGAAAATTGGCTCCAAACTGAACATCTTTGACCTTGCTAGAGCATGTAACAGTTTGATCCTTTTGGCAGGACCTAGATAGATGTAGGTCTTTGGTATCCTTATTTCTCTTACTCATCATCCTTTGTCTTTGGCTTCCCAGCCGTTTCTCAGTCCTCTTCTAAATTATGTCTCTTGTGATTATTATGGTTATAATCCCTATGAACTGAAGCTGTAGAAGCTTCCTGGACTTCTTTACCTTGCCAGAAGTTCTTAAAATTCAAATCTAAAACTTGAATATAGTAATTATAAACAAATACTGTCTTTCATTTTGTCTCTGTCTTGCTCTCTTTACCAGATCCTGAACTCCGTAGGAGTGGAGACTTGGGATCATTTATTCATCCCACTAGTCTCTGGCAAGACTGTATAATATAATGGTAGTTAACTGGTTTGGAGCCAGCTCAACTGGGTTCAGATCCCAGCTCTGCCACTTAAAGCTGTGTGCCTTCTGCAAGTTAGTTACTTTCTTTTATGTGCTCAGTATCCTCATCTGTAAAAACGGATGTAATGATACCCTCCTTGAGGATAAGTTAATAAAAATATTGTTAAAGTGTTTGCTGTTCTGGGCATTGAGGATGCATCAGTAAATAAGAGATTTTTGCCAGTGGGAGCTTGCATTCTACTTGGGTACAGGTGGGAAAGCAAAGTAAACAAGTGCAAAGTAAATAAATTTCAAGTCCTAGGTTGAGTGCTCTGAAGAAGAAAACAAGGTATTGGACTATACCTTAGAAAATGGCTTTTGATTGGTGGGTGGCCACGGCAAGCCTCTGGAGAGATAGCTTTTGAGCTGGGATCTGAATAACAAGAAAATCTGAGAAGGGTGAAATGTTCATCAATTATTATTTTCCCTTCACATAAAAGAATCTTTTGTTAAGCAGTGAGGCGTGACAGAATTAGGTCCTGTAGTTCTTAGCTGGTTTGGCTATTGACTAGCTTTATGATCTTTTGGGGGCGCGGGAGACAATTTTGTTTTTTTTCGTGGGAAAGTGACCCTGAAAGAAGGTTGGCTCTTGAAGGTAGTGACAGGCTAAAAGAAAGTTAATGGTTCTTCTCCTTATAAGTTACTTTATTCCTGTGTTTATGGATTAATGTCCTGTATTTTACATGATATACTGCATCCTCTTGTGGCATTACAGTATTTGAGACTAGTCTCTTACATTTTAAACCTTTTCTTTTGAAGTGAATATTAAGGATATGCCTCATGGCTTCACAGTCCAGGAAGCAGGGAGATAAATGGTCAGAAGTGCCACCTACTCTATAACCAAGATGCCATTGCATAGTTTCTCCTGTGAGGACTGGGAAAACCTTGTCTCAGGGTATCTCATTACTTGTATGAACAGTTACCTCAGTTGGCAAAACTTTGTCTGCTTGTTGAGAAAAGATTACATGCCCCAGATTATCGATAGCTTGCTTCATTTTTGTCTGTTTCATGGTGTTCTCCAATGAGAATTACTAGTCAGGTTTTCCATTGGCTGCCGTGGGATGGTATGTTTGGAATTGTACTGCTTAGACATCCTCCTTGGTAAAAGGGCAAGGAGTGGGTTTTTTTGTTTTGTTTTTAATTTATTTTTGTAATTGAACGATAATTGCTTTACAGAATTTTGTGGTTTTCTGTCATTACATCAGTAAGAATTAGCCATAGGTACACCCATGTCCCCTTCCTCCTGAACTTCCTTCCCATCTCCCTCCCCATCCCGCCCTTCTAGATTTATCACTGAGTCCCTGTTTGAGCTCCATGAGTCATATAGCAGATTCCCACTGGCTATCTATTTTACATATGGTATTATAAATTTCCATGTTACTCTCTGCATACATCTCACCCTCTCCCTCCTCTCTAAAGCAGTTATTTCATCTTTTTTGTTTGTTTCTAAGTGTTCACAGAAGTTCGGGATTGCAAAGAGGCTCACTCATTTGTTTTGATTCTTAGGTATAATTGAAACGTGACCCTTTCTTCAGAGATGTCAAAAACAAACAAATCTAAGTCTGGATCTCGCTCTTCTCGATCAAGATCTGCATCAAGATCTCGTTCTCGTTCGTTTTCCAAGTCTCGATCCCGAAGTCGCTCTGTCTCTCGTTCAAGGAAGCGCAGGCTGAGGTAAGGGGGTATGACTGTATAATGAGATCATCATTGGTTTGTCAGTGTGGGTCTCTGAAGATCTTTTGTTAGACTGTTTCTGTGAGTGTCAAGTGGAGGTAGGGCATTAGCTTGAGGTGTAGCGTGTTGGGCTATAAGATATTCCAGGTCTCTTCAAACACTGCAACTCTAAATCAACTTTGATTGCCATGCTGTTTGCCTAATTCCTTTTCTTTCCTGCCGTCAGTTACTGTTTTTCATCCACTTTGAAAGAAAGATATATATTTTTTTAAGCTACTTGCTTGAAATCTCTGTACCAGATTGTTTTTCACTGAAGTATTTTTGGAGGCTTGGGCCAAAGTTTAGTTGCATCATTAGCAAAGAAAAGATAGCTAAGAAGAGTAATAGTGCAATCAGCATTGCAAGAAAAAGAAACTTTAACCCACTAAAATAAACCTTAAAAAACTAATCAGTAGTCACTTATATATACCTGATATGCCACTTACTAACAAGCTACATCTATTTAGTAAAACACTTCTTAAAACTACCTAAAAGTCACTATTATAGGCATCATTTTGTCTGACTAAACATGCAAATAGTTCTTTTGAATTTATCAAAATTATTATATTCTTTAATTAGTTTCTACACCTTATTTCCTTATTTCAGCTATGTCTTGGAATAGGGTGCCAAACTTCCAGCATCTTTTTTTTTTTTTTTTTTTTTTGCTGTATCATGAGTTCTATTTTTCATTCTTTAAAACTTAATTTTATGAGTGGATAAGAGCCTTTTAATAAATGTAAGTTTCTGTATGTGTGTTAGAGAAATATTGATCATTTAAATATTTAAACACCAAAATCATTCTTTTTGTCAGAGTTGCAGTAGGCAAGGACATGATTCTCAGTTTTGCCACTTGGAGCCCCTGCTGATTATTTTAGATGAGTGTCCTAGAGCCCTTCTCCAGATTGGTAGGATTCCCCCCTACCCTCACCTTCCCAACAAGAACAAGTTAATTCTTAAATGGAATCTGTGAGAAGCCTGTTTGAAAATTAATTTCAGAGTAGAGATTGAACAAAAAGTAGGTGTGCATACATGGTGATGTCTTCCATGTAGTGTAGAGTAGGAAGTTTTAAACTCTGGGTCTCTCCTTCAAAAGAAACCCTCCATTAAAAAAAAAACAAAAACATTATGTCTTCAAGGTAACCTGTCTTAGCTTTGTTTTTCTCTCCCATATTTCTTGGGCATATACTTTCATATCAGACTTTATTCAAGCTTTGTACTAGATAGAGTGTCTGTTGCCTAATTGTGTCAGAGTCTCTAAAAGTAAAATCCCATCCCATTTTCTCACACTGCCCCCACTACCCCCCAAGAAAGAGGGAAAATTCACTGAATATATTTACCTCAGGGAGTTGCTAACAAGGCTATAGGACTAAGCAGAGACTGCTAGTAAGCTCTACCTTGCACCCAGATTCTTTTGATCTGGACTGTTTAAACTTCATTTTTAGCTCATTTGGTCCTACAGGTAATTTTAAAAGTTAATCTAATAAATGGAAACTAAGTAATTGGTTCAAAAAGAAGAGTCTGTACAACCGAAACTGAGAGAATTGAACTGACATAAACCAAAATGAAAAATGCTAACCAACTCTGCAATATTTGTGATAACTGGTATTCTGGACAGATCGCTTCTCCTTATTGTACATACCATTTGGCATGGTCATCAATTTGGTAAATGAGGGAAAGATATCTTAGGCAGGAAGTATGTGCTGGGGTAGGTCTAGAGCCACTCTATGTGCTGTCTTAATGCCTGGAAGATTATTTTGGAGGAATATCTTCACTAGAAAAATGTTTTTATATTTAATTCTAGTCTGACTTCTCTGTTTTTTAGAAACAGATAAATTTGCCACTAGATGTTCAGTTTTTATTTCTGGCTTATCTGTTTCATGATTTTTTTCTTTTGTTTCCCCTCTCCTATAAGGAAAGTATACTATCCAGAGAGTTTGAGAAACCATGTCTTTAATTTAACTTAACTGCTGAGTTCTACAGAACTGGAGAAAATTGGTTGTTTCCTTATATTTCACAGACTGTATCCTTTTAAGTGACTTCTAAATAACTTCATTTGCAATCTGCAGAGACTCATGTTCCTGCATCTGTGCAGTGACTGCGGGTTTTGGATGCAGTGTGCCGCAGGGCCCTCACTAATAATTGGTGACAGAAGCAGCAGTAGCCTGTGAGGATGGGAACATGAATTAAACCCTCCTTAGTGCTGGTGGTGCATCACCTATCTCAAGTATAGCCATTAAATCGGGTCATGTTCAGTTTCATAGCCGCATCTGCTTCTCCCTTCTTCTTTCTTGTATTATTACTGTTTTCGAGTGAAAAGTGTGAAAGGTAAGTTTGTTTTTTTAAAAAAAAATCATACTTAAATAGCAACCATTAACAGCCAGCAGTTTGCTGCATCTTTACCAGGTCTTGTTCTTGGGGTAGATAAAGAACCTGAATACAATGGGTAGTGGGAAAACAATCCTATTTTATCTTCTAAGTTTCTTTGTAAAGATAACATTTTATTTAGTTGTTAAAACCTGTCACATTGCTAAGTGGAGTTATTTATAAAACTTATAAGCAAACAGATAAAAATGTATGGTTCCAATTATGTCTGATATGAGAAGGCCTGCTTATGAACTGAAGGGTTTTTATTCTGTATATAAAGGAATTTTTTTTTTGAGTTTTCTAGTAATTTTACATATTTCTAGGTAATGTTAATACTTAGAAGTAGTGACCAATTAATGCTCTATATTATAGTTGACCCAATAAGTGGTGTTGAAGAAGCCCAGTAGATTCTTAAACCAGCAAGTACAGCTTTTGGCTTTTTGATGAAAACAGACCTCCTTGTCATCGATAAGTCTGGCATTTGTAAATATGTAATATCATCCCACCCTAGTTCCTGGAGGTACTGCAATATCAGGTTGATGCATGGAGTGGACAGAGCAAGCTCCTTTTCCAGTTCCCTGCTCCAAAAAGTCCACTTAATAGTGAACATGTAATTTTTACAGAGTTAGATGACTGTTGAATCCCTGTAGTTCTGGAAATGGGCCTTTGCTGAATTAGAGTTCCGTATATTGTTCGATGAGGACGAGCACTGAGCTGACATGTGCAGGTGTGTGGCTGTCTGCTGCCATCTTGGGTGCTTGGGTGTGTTATGGTCAGATGGTGCCCTCTTGTGGCACCTATGGAAGACTTTGTAGTTCAGCCACAGAGACTTGACCTTCTAGAGAATGAGACCATTTCCAAATTCCCAGTTTAAAAAAACAACAACATTTGTTTGATTGATCAACAATTGTTGATCTGATTTCAGTTGAAATTTTTTTAAGCTTTGAACTGATTCATTCTCTGAGTCCCTATTTAAGTGTTCTTTGGTTTAGACATGTTGCAGCTGTATTTCACAAACCCAAATCTTAGTGGAAGTCAAGAAATTAGCCCTGTACAGACAGAGGTGGGTGGGAAAGGGAATAAACCGTGTGGGGCCAGAGGACCTGAAGACTTACCTCTCTGGGTACCACAACTTGCAGTTGTTGTTCTCTTCAGTGACGTAGGGACCTATCTGTAAAGTCCTCTGTGCCTGTGAAACTAACAAGTATACTATATTAAAACGATGTTTGTTAAGTTCATTAAGAGCATCTTTATATTCTCTCAGTCATTGTAGAAATAGATGTCCATGTAGAATGTGCTACAGTAGTATTAATGAGTCATCTCAGTGTCTGGTTTGTTAAAGTGATTTTTTTAATTGTTGTACTTAATGTGGCTATAAGAGTAGGATTAACTATTTAAGTTTGTACCTTTTGTTTGAAAATAAATGATTCATAAGAGTAGGGCTTTACCTCTTTGTTGGCAGGTTTTTCATGAATAAAAATGCTTTGTCAAAAATTCAAACTTTTCTTCCCTCCCCTGCCCCTCTTTCAGTTCTAGGTCTCGTTCCAGATCATATTCTCCAGCTCATAACAGAGAGAGAAATCACCCAAGAGTATATCAGAATCGAGATTTCCGAGGTCACAACAGAGGCTATAGAAGGCCCTATTATTTCCGTGGGCGCAACAGAGGCTTTTATCCATGGGGCCAGTATAACCGAGGAGGCTATGGAAACTACCGCTCAAATTGGCAGAACTACCGGCAAGCGTACAGTCCTCGTCGGGGCCGTTCCCGTTCCCGGTCCCCAAAGAGAAGGTCCCCTTCACCAAGGTCCAGGAGCCACTCCAGAAACTCCGATAAGTCTTCCTCTGACAGGTCAAGGCGTTCCTCGTCCTCTCGTTCTTCCTCCAACCACAGCCGAGTTGAATCTTCTAAGCGCAAGTCTGCGAAGGAGAAAAAGTCCTCTTCCAAGGATAGCCGGCCGTCCCAGGCTGCTGGGGATAACCAGGGAGATGAGGCCAAGGAGCAGCCATTCTCTGGAGGCACCTCTCAAGACCCAAAAGCATCTGAGAGCTCAAAGCCGTGGCCAGATGCCACCACATACAGTGCTGGTTCTGCATCACGGGCCTCCGGGGTGTCTGAGCTGAGTCCCCGGGAGCGAAGCCCAGCTCTCAAAAGCCCCCTCCAGTCTGTGGTGGTGAGGCGGCGGTCACCTCGTCCTAGCCCTGTGCCAAAACCTAGCCCTCCACTTTCCAGCACATCCCAGATGGGCTCAACTCTGCAGAGTGGTGCTGGGTACCAGGGTGGGACTCACCCAGGTCAGTTTGACCATGGCTCAGGATCCTTGAGCCCATCCAAAAAGAGTCCCGTGGGTAAGAGTCCACCGGCCACTGGCTCAGCATACGGCTCATCTCAGAAGGAGGAGGCTGCTGCTCCAGGAGGAGCAGCCTATGCAAAGAGGCAAGTACCTCATTTTCCCGTCTGTCTGTATCTCACCAGCTGGCAGTTTAGTTGTGATGTGATCCTTAGAGCTCTGATTAATAGTAATGAGGTAATTCCCATTTCCTAAAGTTGCATTTCACCAGTTTGAAAGCATCATCCAAGGAAACCTTTAGCTTAACTCTGGTTTTCCTACCTTCCTGAATTTGTATTGCAGCACAAATTCTAGATTACTCTGCAATGATGTTTTCACATTTAAAGTTTGCCTTGGATTCTACCAGTGTAAGCCAGAGAACACTAGAGATTTGTGGGTCAGCTATCAAAAAAATGTCTTTACCAAAATGAATGGCTATTGGAGCTGTTAGACCCTCTAAGATCCACCATCTCCTATGATCGATCTGCATCAGCCCATCATGGTGAAGAGCTGCACCCTCACACCCTCCAGTTGAGGAGACTGGGCAGAATGGCAAAGTCCAAGGCTTAGTCCAGGAAGACCTTGTTATAAAATCACAAGGTGGGTGTATGTTCCAGTAGAAGCCAAGCAGGCTGCATGTTAGGAGAGGACATAATAGTGCTTCTGTCTTTCTACCCTGAGGGACACGGTGAGTTGGAGCACGAGTCTTTGTTTTGTGTGGTTGTATGGATTGGGATGGCAGAGACATAACAGGGAAGTTGCATTGGGACCACGTTGTCAAGAGGGACTTTACGGAGCAGGTGCCCCTCCTGCCCCCCCACCTCCCCCTTTTTCTCTTATTAGCGTTTTTCTTTGATGCCCTGCTGTCCCTTTGGTTCTTTTTTAGGTTGGTTTTTTTTTCTTGCCGTATTAATGCAGCTGTAATTTGATTAGACTTTTTCCGTTAATGGTACAGATGAGATATTCAGAACCTGTACTTCCTAGCCTTCAGTAAGTCTGCTTTAAAATACAGATTTTGTTCCTTGCCAGGACTGTGAATCTTATTAGAACACTTGGGCATGAACTCTGCTTTTCCATAAGAATGAGTGGGATGAATTTTGCCCCCTCCTCCAATTAACATGTATTTTGTTTTTATTTGTGTTCACAGTATATTTCATACTTAGGTCTTCTAGGTGACTTGAAGCAAATTTGAAGTCTCTTTTGAGACTTGTATTTCCAAATGTGAGTTGTATAAAAACAAAACAGTCCAAGGTTGAACATTCTATGTTAACTTTGCTGAAAGCAGATTTTAAGTGACTTGAGTGAAGGTTGGATAAGACCTTAATTTTTTTTTTCCTAGACCATTTACAGGTAAGTAGGTTTTTGTTTTTTAGTATCCTAAAAATTGCCTTTGCTATTTTCTTTTTGCTTGATTTTGTAATATACAACTCCACAGAACATTTCTCTTTTAAATGCAAAGTTCATAAACCTGTGAAGAGCAGTTTTTCAGAAATTAACAAAAAAGGTAATCAAGACACCTTTGGCAACACTGGAATCCACAAGTCATGCTTATTAGAGAGTCAAAAACCTAAGACCATATGGTGCTGTTTTATTTTGGATCAGATTGCTTAAGTCTCGTATGTCTCCCTTGTGTTTTCATAACTAGGTATCTAGATGAACAGAAGACAGAGAATGGAAAAGATAAGGAACAGAAACAAACAAATACTGATAAAGAGAAAATGAAAGAGAAAGGGAGCTTCTCTGATGCAGGATTGGGTGATACAAAAATGAAATCTGATTCATTTGCTCCCAAAACTGATACTGAGAAGCCTTTTCGGGGTAGCCAGTCTCCCAAAAGGTATAAGCTCCGAGATGACTTTGAGAAGAAGATGGCTGACTTCCACAAGGAGGAGATGGATGATCAAGATAAAGATAAGGCTAAAGGAAGGAAGGAATCTGAGTTTGATGATGAACCCAAATTCATGTCGAAAGTCATAGCAGGTGCAAGCAAAAACCAGGAGGAGGAGAAGTCAGGCAAATGGGAGGGCCTGGTGTACGCACCTCCAGGGAAGGAAAAGCAAAGAAAGACGGAGGAGTTGGAGGAGGAATCCTTTTCAGAGAGATCCAAAAAGGAGGAGCGAGGAGGATCCAAGAGAAGCGAAAGTGGGCACAGGGGATTTGTGCCTGAAAAGAATTTCCGAGTGACTGCTTATAAAGCAGTCCAGGAGAAGAGCTCTTCACCCCCCCCAAGAAAGACCTCTGAGAGCCGAGAGAAGCTAGGAGCCAAAGGAGACTTTTCCACAGGGAAGTCTTCCTTTTCTATTACTCGAGAGGCCCAAGTCAATGTCCGGATGGACTCTTTTGATGAGGACCTTGCAAGGTGAGATGTAGTCCATCTTGACCCTCAGGGCTTTAGCCTGACCTATCTCTATAAGGTCATTCTAGAACAAGGACAAACCCCTCCTGTATTTCTCCCTCTGTCTCATTTTCAGTGTGAATACCCTTGTGTCTCCCTGTTTTCGTTGGAGAAGTGTGTATCACCGAGTAGTTACATGTTTGGGCAGTATCGTGAAGCGTCTTTTTAGTCTGTAGTGACTGACTGTCTTGGTACTGGGTCCCCTCTGCTTCTCTCTTGCACTGTATTCATCACATCATACACCCTCCCCCCATTCCACGCCTGTCCTGTTTTCCTAAATGTGCTTAGGGTGTCTTTGCCCATGGAACCATGCAGGATCCATTTTTTCATTCTTAGCTAAGTCACAATGTGTAATATATTAGGCCTTCATCAAATAATGCAGCGGTTTGAAAGTTGGGGCTGGGGTGCGGAGTTTGAGAACTTCAGGAAAGAGTTGTGAGGCCCAGGCTGCTTTTCACCTGGTGTAACAGTTGCGCAGCCAGTTGGAAGTCTGCTGAGAGCAGTCTAGCCACGTTCCACTCTTGCTGCATTGTGTCACTTTACTGAGTGGCCTTGACTGGCCAAGATAGTTGATCTTCTAAGATACCTTCCTATTTGTCATGCGTTAAAATCAGCGGAGACCACCCCCCTCCCCCCACCTCCAGAACAGAACAGAATCACTGAGGTTTAATCCTTCATCCTGCCCTTTTGTTTATATTAAACTCCAAAGGGAGAAATGCCTTTTTCCACAGTGACGGTGCCTTGAGGTTCTTTGTACTTTGCTAGGAATTTAAAAAGGAGCTTTGCAGAGAAATTCACGTCTTTCAAAAGTATTCTTGTATTTTTAGGACTTAAATGTTCTGACTTTCTATGTATCTTATTACATTGGGCCACCCTGTGTTTATTTTTCAGACCCAGTGGCTTATTGGCTCAGGAACGAAAGCTTTGTCGGGATCTAGTTCATAGCAACAAAAAGGAGCAGGAATTTCGATCCATTTTCCAACACATACAGTCAGCTCAGTCTCAGCGGAGCCCCTCAGAGCTGTTTGCCCAGCATATAGTGACCATCGTTCATCATGTTAAAGGTGAGTCCTGACCCCAGCCTGCTCAGGTTCCCTTTCTACATGCTTAGCTTTCTTTCTAACAAGCTGAAGGCTGAGACGGGGCATGAGGGAGTCTGTTGGGGACCTTTATCTCATCCATAGGGCCTTAGGGGCTGGTTTGAAGGAAATGTCTCCCAGGGGTAAGTTTCCATTTTCTAATCAGAGAACTGAATATTGTGAAAATACTAGTGATAAGCTGGGATCCTGAGGCTAGGTGAAATCCTTCATGTGAAGATTTAAATTGCTTGAAAAGGGAAGTATGGAAAGTGGCTTTCCCAGCCCATCTGATTTGTCCTGTCTTAATACGTAGATACCTCTAGCAGCATCTTATAGATCTTGTCCCACATTATTCTGCCATCTTCTGGGCAAATGGAGGTGGACAGACTGAGGAATGTGATCTAGAAGCTGGGTTTGGGCCAGTTACAGTTTCATCTGAAATTGGAACTTAGGCTGGAGTTGGTGCTCTTGATGCATAGAATAGTATCTTTGTATCCATGTCCTACCATGGCAATCCAGTGCTCAATATTGGATTGTTTCTGAACCAGCTAATTTTCTTTACTTTCCATAGTATGTTTGTTATATGGATTTGACCACTTCATTCACATAACTGTGGCTGCAGTTTCATCCGTGCAGAGGGCTTTGAATGTTGGGTCTGCCTTTAGTAGCCTGACGTATTTTTCTTTGACTCCCCACAGAGCATCACTTTGGGTCCTCCGGAATGACATTGCATGAACGCTTTACTAAATATCTAAAGAGAGGAAGTGAACAGGAGGCAGCTAAAAACAAGAAAAGCCCAGAGATTCACAGGTGAGGACCTTGGCTTACACTGGAGGTGATCATAAAAGATTGCTTAAGGAGAGTTGCTCAGTTGTGTCTGAGTCTTTGTGACCTCATGGACTCTACAGTCCTTGGAATTCTCCAGGCCAGAATACTAGAATGGGTAGCCTTTCCCTTCTCCAGGGGATCTTCCTGACCCAGGAATTGAACCGGGGTCTCCTGCATTGCAGGTGGATTCCTTACCAACTGAGCTATCAGGGAAGCCCAAAAGACTGCTCACCAGAGAATAAACTTGTCTTGTTTTTGCCACTTGTTAAGTATAATAGCAGAATTTAAGGTAATGCTCTCCATAGTCTAGGTTTGTAGTGGAAACGGCATGCTTTGATTACCATGTTTCTCCCTTTGGGCCTGAGGAAAACAGCCCTTTTTGATGTAAAAGAAACCTTGTATTCTTGAGAGTTGTGAGAGTTGCAGGAGGAGTTTGTAAACAATAACTCAAGGTCATGGTGAGCTTTCTTTACATAAAGTAAATGTTCCTTTAAGCATACCATGTATTTCATATATTGGTTCTTCCTTTGGGAGAATCTGCAGCAAGTGGGGGATGGAGGTAGAAGAATTTACAGAATTATATCAAAGGGTTTAAAAAGCCCAGAGGTTTAAACATCTGGTTGTGGGAATTTATTCAGCAAATAGGGATTTTGCCTAGAAACATAGTTGGCCTTAACTTTGATTGAACCTTTGCAGTGGGTAAGAGGACCGTGTTTGTAATAGTCTTGGATTTAGGGTCTTTGGGGATGTGTGTCACACCAGGCACTTGTTTCTTACTTAGACTTTATCATATTGGTGAATAATGGACCATTATATTTCAGTTCCCAAGGTGAAAACTGCTTTTTGAAGTTAGCAGGGCATAGATAGTCTCGATGTGAATTTAAGATTATAAGTAAGGCTATAAGTGAGTCTGTTTTCTTGACTGTAACAGTACAGGGTGGAATATGAAGTTCCTTCTGTTTGAGTTTGGAAAGTTGGGAGAGAGAAAGTGTGTGTGTCTGTACATGTACGTGTGTGCCTGTGCATACATACCTATGGGAGAGTTTAAGTATGTAAACAAACAAGTGTAATAAAAAGGAATGCCTGTGTTTCTGCTACTTCACTTACAAACTAAAATGCTATATTCACACTATGGAATGTTGAACAGTTTTTGTGTTTATAATTTTAGGAGGATAGACATTTCCCCCAGTACATTCAGAAAACATGGTTTGGCTCATGACGAAATGAAAAGTCCCCGTGAACCTGGCTACAAGGTGAACTGTTGCTTTGATCAGTAATTCCAACAAAATGAGTGCGTTGGGCATGAACTTGACAGAAATGTGTTTGTTTAAATTACTCTCTACTTAAGTTTGTGTTTTTCTTTTAAGGATGGGCATAATTCTAAAAATGAACTACAAAGGGTTAATTTTTATTAAATGTATCAACAACCTTTGTGAAGTGGTTAGAATATGGTAAATGACCCCAAAGTCTATTGAGGTGAGCTTGAGAAAAAAAAGAGAGGAGTTTTGGAACAAGTGCCCATGATGAGAGAAGAAACTTTTTGTGATATTTTTCTGCTTGTAAGTATTATCAAATCAACTATATACATGCGCTATTTCCAACCATGATTTCAAAAAGACATGCATGTCAGAGGAGAGTGAAATTTTCATATCTTAACTGAATAGACTGTTTTAAGCAGCTAGTCCAGATTTTTTTTCCTAACATTGTGCCATATCTATCATCTGTTGGTTACTGTTACTTTAAAGCTAAACATTGCTTTGATAGCGCAGCTACATGTATAATGATGTGCACGTAAACACTGTTATTAAGAGATTAAAGCTTGTGTTCAGTCTGTTACAATGAGGTACTAGATTTGGGTTCTTAAAAATCTTAGTATTTATTAATGGTCAATTCCCACATAGGGACCCTGTGGAGATTAGATTGAAATTTAATCCCTATGGAGATGACTCTTCCAATGTTGCCGAAACTGTTCCTAAAAGTAGTAATTTTCAAGTTTTCCAAATAGGTTTGTCTTGTTGGTTGAATGTGATGAGAGGCTCTCTTGCACAGTCTGTCTTCTCTCCCATTACCCCTTTCCTCCAAGTACCCACCAGCTTGATACTAACCATGTGAAACACAAAGTTTTTTTGAAACACCAGGAGAGATGTCATCCTCTTCTGCCCCACACTGCCTGTTCATTAGAGATGCTGTGTGTACTGCCTAAGGGAACTGCAGCTGTACTTCTCTCTTTTTTGGTCTTTGGAGGGTGCAGAGGCCCCATTCCCCCCTCAAAAGCATGCAATAAAATAAACCAAGTTACCACCTACCATTCTTGTTAATTAAAACTTCATTATTTCAACAGAAAGCTTAGTTGTGTAAGTAATTGTTAATACAGAGTGAACTGCTCATCCCTTCCTCTTTTTAGAGAGGTTTTTTGTTGTTGTTTGTTTGTGTTTTGGTCACACCACACAGCTTGTGTGGTCTTAGTTCTCCGAGCAGGGATTGAACCCACAGCCCCAGCAGTGAAAGCACAGTCTTAACCACTGGGCTACCAGAGAAGTCCCTAGGAAGGTTTTGCTTCCAGGAGGCAAATCTTAGTGTATAATATGCCTGAAAACACCTTGCTCCTCTGCTTTCACTGAGATTCTCAAGACATGTTGAAAGCCCTTTGCCTGATAGTTTAAGGGTAGAAGGCCGCTGTTGTTGCTGGGCTCACTCTGTCTGCAGCACATACTGTGATAGGTTTCACTAGTAGAAAGTTAGTGAGAAGATGTTCTCTCATTTTTCTTTTTAAAATAAACTTTGACTTGGTATTGCCAACTTTATGAATTCTTTATTATGGTTTTCGATATGCCTTCTCTAGAGAAATCTGTTGATATAACTAACATTTTGGAAGGCTGTGTAAGTCTTCCATTGTCTTATTATTGGACTCAGTACTGAGAGGTAATTCCAAATAGAGGATAGGTCCAGGGTAGCTGCCACAGTGTAGGTAGGGGAAAGATGACAGCATTTCCACTCCTGCTGGTGACTAAGCCTAAGCCAACCTCACCAAACACCTTCTAGAGTTAATTTTGGACTTCTCAGCTTTTCAGCTAGCCAAAGTCATTACTGGACCACAGAAGGAAATAGCAAAGCAAGAGGTGTGTGTGTGTGTGTGTGTGTGTGTAGCATACGCAGAAGGTTATCATCATTATTCTAGAGAACTGGTTTGGGCTCTCTAGGGATCCTCATGAAGTGACTTTGGTGGAACATCCTGTATTTCTCCCGAGTTGGGCGAGGTACCTCACATTCCCAGTGCTTCCTCTGTACCACTCCATTGGAATAGAAACCACAGTTTGTGGGGTGGTTAAGTTTGTAGTCCTGAATCCCAAAAACCTTAATTTTGATTTCTCTTGGCAGGCTGAGGGAAAATACAAAGATGATCCTGTTGATCTCCGCCTTGATATTGAACGTCGTAAAAAACATAAAGAGAGAGATCTTAAACGAGGTAAATCAAGAGAATCAGTGGATTCCCGAGACTCAAGCCACTCAAGGGAGCGATCAGCTGAGAAAACAGAGAAAACTCATAAAGGATCAAAGAAGCAAAAGTATGTGAACCCTTGTCTGTTGCCTCATTCAGTCTCCTGAGTGGACTCCTTTGTCTGCCCCTCATTAGGCTCTATGGCAGACCCTCCACACTGGAGAACAATTAGGAACGATTTTGTGCAGTTTCTTTTAACTGACAATTAAGGTCCCTAGATTGAAAATAGAACTCTTGAATGAAAATAGCCACAATCCTTGTCCAAAGGCCTCTTGGGAGACAGGCTGTTGATTTGGTTATAGGGACAGTGTAGAGAATCATGGGAATTTCTTTTGCTTTTGTTTTGGACATGTTCTTTGACATATCCTTTCTCATCACAAATCATCTTGCGAAGGTTATGTTTTAAAACATCTTATATTTTAAAATGGCTTAAAGTTGTTGTCAAGTAAAAACAGTGTTTGGTCAGAGAAACAGGGCAGAACTAGATAGGACAAGCTTGTTGATCTTAAATGCCTTTTAAACTAGTTTCACAGGCACTTCCAAGAGAGGTGTTCCAAATATTCTTTAAACAAAGGTGGCATTGTTGAACTTCATAAGGCAGCATTTATGCCAAGGTCTTGTCTCTGTTTACATTTTTGAACGTTCCATGACTTTTCAGTCATGCGCATTAAAGGTTGCAGAATTGAAATCCCACGCCTTCCTGTGGGAAGCAGCACTACTTTTGTGTTTCTGAACTTTAGCTGGCAAGCACTTATACATCCATTTTCTGATAACAATCCTTTGAAATAAGCGAGACAGTTAGTAGACTATCCCTTTTGCCTATTTGAAAGATAGAGAAGTAAGCTCATATCTTCTGTTTCACTTTGTCTACCCTTCCGCTCAGTTAATTTACACATTATGAGCCCTAACAGCTTTCAGAGCTACCCACAGATAGAGGATCTGATAATCCTCAACAGGAAATGGAAGTTGGGGTACAGTAGTCTTCTCTGGTGGAAAGGGAGCAGGACCCTTCAAGCCTTTCAGGCCTGGACTTGGATTACTGATCCAGATTTGTTTCCCTGGGACATGTGCCACTGCCTCTGTCTTGCTGTGTAACCTTGATCAAGTCTCTTGCAATTATAGTATTTTGTGATTGGGGCAAGAAGAAAAATGATAATTGTGTCACTGTTTTCACTGTATTAAAAAACTCTTTCTCATGTGACTGAAGAATGGCTCACCAAGATTACACAACTAATAAAAAGCAGTGTTGGGACTCAAATCAGGATTTTTGGAGTTTTATTTTTGAAAATCTCTTGAAATAGTGCTGATTTCCAGGAGTCAAACATTTGAGTTATATAATAATCCAATGAGAATAACTTAGAGCCGGTAGGATTCAATTATTTGCCTTTGATCTTCTCTAATGTTTGGGGGTTGGGGTAGCTGTGGGGGTGGGGGGCTGGCAAGGTGCTTTTCATAATGGAGGAGGGTAATGATAGGTTACTGACACTTGGCTGGCTTCTCTCTGTCAGTCCTGTACTCCCAGGAGCTGGCTCTCTGCCCCCTTAGAGGTGGCTGGTACCCTCCACTGCCACACGGCAGGACTGGCCCTGACCTCTAGTACGTATCCAGTGACTCACTGTATTACTCTGTCTAATTTGCCCCTGGTCTGTAATTTCCTCCAGATGAAGGGACGGATGGGAAATAACTCTGGGAAGAGTTCTGCCAGATTTTAGGCTTAATGACCTAAACCTGTTTGAGCGCAGTGGAAAGTGGGAAGGGTTTGTGGAGTATTGGTATAATTAGTGCTAGGTTTGAATCCAAATCTGCCTAGTTCCATCACCTGAACCTCCTGTCCATAAGATGGGGAAAACAGTACTGAAGAATCATAATTGCCATTGACAATATACATGCTGTGTCATTGTAGAGTGTTTAAGCACATTGTTTTTTCGATCTTTAGAACAGCCTCCCAAGACAGGTTGTAGTTAAAGTTGAAACAGATGGTAATGTATAAAGCCTGTCCCAGTACCACATACTCTGTGGCTTTCATTACAGGGTTTTCCCTTCTGTCTTCCCAGTTCATGCACGTGTATTAGGCTGAGCCGCCAGAGGCCATGCATGGGCTGTATTTTGTCCCTCCTCCTGTATGCGGGTGTCCCGTGTTTATTACAGGCTCAGACATAGAATTGGGAGGAAGCGCCCCAGTTCCCTGGGTGGGTATGTTGAGGGTGAGTTGGTTTTTCTGGTTACTTGTCTTCAGAGTTCTCATCACAGACACACTCTTGATTGCCTTGTGCTCTTTATTCGTGAGCCCCCAGACAAGGACTGTACCTGAGAGGCTTACTGATCTCCTTGCCTCTTCTGTTTTCATAGGAAGCACCGGAGAGCACGAGACCGGTCCAGGTCATCATCTTCTTCCTCCCAGTCATCCCACTCCTACAAAGCGGAAGAGTACACTGAAGAGACGGAAGAGAGAGAGGAGAGTACCACGGGCTTTGACAAATCAAGACTGGGGACCAAAGACTTCGCGGGTCCAAGTGAGAGAGGAGGCAGAGCTCGAGGGACCTTTGTAAGACTCTGCCCCCCCTTTCTTTAAGCCCTTTCTCCTGCTAATTCTAATTATGTGCTTATCAGAATATTTATTTTGTTGCCCTTGATACAGGTGATTAGGTCAGGAGACCCTGGAATCTGGTTTCCCATTCCCCAGGCTTTCCATTTTTAATTTTTTTTTTTTTCCTGTTCATAATCACTTAGCCAGAAAGCCTCTTCGGGCTTCTAGTCTGGAATTCCTCACTTGTTTTAACTCCTGCTGTATGTAGGGGAGGCCATTATGGCATTGTCCCCTGTATGGGCTGTAGAATTGAGATAAACAGAAAGGTCCTGTTAACCAGCATATTGACTGGAGGACAGCAGAAAAGTATTTTAATAGAAGACAAGGAGTTGTTTTTCTCCATTCCTTACATGGACCCTTTGTCCCTTTCCCTGTGTATTGCCATAGCAGTTTCGAGCCAGAGGAAGAGGCTGGGGCAGAGGCAACTATTCTGGTAACAACAACAGCAGCAGCAACAATGATTTTCAGAAGAGAAGCCGGGAGGAGGAATGGGACCCTGAGTACACACCCAAAAGCAAGAAGTACTACTTGGTATGTGTCGATATAACCAGGAAGGGTGAGGGGGCCTTTGACATACACAGTAGCTGATGAAGTGAAGTCGCTCAGTCATGTCCGACTCTTTGCGAACCCATGGACTATAGCCCCCCAGGCTCCTCGGTCTATGGGATTTTCAAGGCATGAATACTGGAGTGGGTAGCCATTTCCTTCTCCAGGGGATCTTCCTGACCCAGGGATCGAACCCAGGTCTCCTGCATTGTAGGCAGACACTTTACCGTCTGAGCTACCAGGGAAGCCACAGTAGCTGATAGTGAGACTTTAATTGATTTTTCCAGAACTGCGTGCAGGTGTGGCACTGGGTACGTGTGTACTTGCGGGCTAGTATAGTTCTGGCAAGATGACTGTTGTCCAGAGAGGCAGTCCTGACCTTGAAAGTGTTATCTAAGATGTTTATGGATTCCAGGATAAGCAGGAAAGGTTGCTCTTGCCTTTTTGTCTTTGAAATCGTCTTTTTGCTCACCCCCCCAAGCCTCCCTTCAGACTTTACAAGGGAAGAACCATTATCTTCCCCAGAGGTGGCAGTTCCACCTTGTCACGCTCCTGGACAATATGGACAGGAAAGACAGTTCTCTTTTTGAGGGAGGGCACCTGTCTCCAGAGTGAAACACCACTGGAGCTGGGCTCTTCTAGGCTGAATTATTTGGCCACTGAGAGAGCTCTGTTGCCTTGCTGTGTTAACAGCAGACTCGGTTCCAAGCAGATGTGACTGAGTGTTGTAACCAAGGTAATCTTACTGCTGAGTCTCATCACCCATGAGGACCGGCCTGGAAACAGGAAGCTGGGAAGCAGGTTGCTGTGTAAATCATTGTGCATAGCCAACTTCGCTTTTCTGGGGCTGCTGGAAGCTACTCTGAGACTCCTAGAGGACCCTTGAACCTATATGTAGGAAAATGTGGGCTGGACTGGGCCCAGGATAGGTACTGGAGTGGGGCTGTGTAGAGGAAGGATGAGAGGTTGTACAGAGTCCCTTCCCTGCCCTGTGTCCCTGAAGGAGCGTTGCCAGCCTGATTCATTCCGGCTCGTGGAGAAGCTGGCCCTTAGCTGGACTAACCCCTCAGGAGCCGCAGGTGCTGCTTGTGTGGGTGGAGGGCTCAGACTCTTTGAAGCCATGGGGCAGATGAGGTAACAGTGACTTTTCAAAATCCTTTCTCATTCATTCTTTCATTGGTTTCCTCCTCTCTCATGAGATCGTCAGAGCAGGGACTGAGTTATAGGTTTTGTTTTTTTCTACTCTGCCACACTGCCTTCTTGCATAAAACTAGAGAAGGGAGGAAAGATACAAGACAGGAGGCTGGGTTCTGGCCCTGCCTTTGCCAGTACTGATCTGTGACCATGTGCCATATGCCCTTGGTCTCACTGCCTGTTCTTGGCTGAGGTGGGGAGGCTTGGGGAGAGCTGGATAAGACTCCCAGCTGTGTGTGTATTCTGTGTTGCTTCCTCTCTTAGCTTACAGACAACTCAGATCAGAAATAGTTTAATGTTTGGGGGTGATTGGCTTACACCCCCCCCCCACCCCCTCCTTCAGAGAGTGTGTTATAAATAATATGGAGTTACTTAAAGTTCCTCCGGCTGTTTTCTTATCTTCGTAGTGGAGGGTGATAATAATAGGGTAGGGTAGATGTGAGGATTAAATGAGATAATGTAGGAAAAGGTCTTTGAAGATTTTATCATCATCATCATCATTATAATGCCTAAACAACTGTTAGAATTCAAGGAACTGAACTGAATATTCTCTTAGATCTGAATCAGTAGCATTTTTTGAGTAGGGGACAGAGAGGACAGGACATAGGTTCGTTTGGCAGAGTCACGTTTGGTAGGTGCAGAGGAGAGGCTGCTCTTATTTTACTCTGGCATTGATGACCGTTTTCCTTTTCTCTTAAGCATGATGACCGTGAAGGCGAAGGCAGTGAGAAGTGGGTGAGCCGGGGCCGGGGCCGAGGAGCCTTCCCCCGTGGTCGGGGCCGGTTCATGTTCCGGAAATCTAGCACCAGTCCCAAGTGGGCCCATGACAAGTTCAGTGGGGAGGAAGGAGAGATTGAAGATGATGAGAGTGGGACAGAGAACCGAGAAGAGAAGGACAATTTACAGCCTACAACTGAGTAGCGGCCACCCTTGCCGGGAGCCCCTGCCCGAGGGAGAGAGGCGCCGGGAAGATGGCTGGTGAGGAGCTAAACAGAGGAGCCTCGAGAAGATTCTGAAAATCCCACCCCTACCCCCCACCAGCCACGCAAAATCCTACAACTGCCGAAGAGCATCCTGGCGTCCCACCAGACAGAGGCAGCTGGCTATGGGGCCTGGGGTCAGGCCCAGCTCTTGAACAGAACACACCATGTTGGGCTTTAGCTATGTGTTTCTCGTTTATTGTTGGTGTGTGGGGTGGGGGCTGGGGTAGGGAGGGCAGAGCGATAACTTGGATTTTGGTTTGTTCCCTGTTAGAAACCAACAGTTTTATTCTTCATTTCATTTCATTTGGAGCTGAGGACTAATTTGATGATTTTCAGTCTTTTTATCCTTATTTTAAAAGCCCCCCTCTTTTTTTTTTAGGCATATATAGTAACATTAGCAGAAAGATTTAATTTGGGCAACTTTGATTCTTAAAAGAGAAAACAAAGCATGTGAATAAATATTGACGTGTTCACCTCAGTTTGGGACCAAACTGCGTGGGTCTTTGTAAAAATTGGTTTTGTATGTCGAGGAGGAGTTCAAGGCCTTTCTGACCACCTTGTGTTCCCCTTTTCTGCGCAGCCATGTATCATGTGGTGTTGCTCCTAACCACACCCCATGTGCGCACCTCCCCTCCCCCCCAATATTTTCTGATTTCTTGTGGACTGGGCTTCCCCTTCTCCACCAGCAGCTCCAGTATCCCAAACTTTCTAGTCCTGCTGATCCTCTCAGCAACAGGGGTGGAAACTGGATGGCAGTTTCTGGTCTGTTTTCTAAGAAACTTCTGACTTCTATTATCTTTACAAATATAAGATGAGAAAATAATTTTTTCAATATTTTTTATTAATCTTTTTATAAAATGAAAAGAAACTCCTATGATCAATTAAGGAAGGTGGTTATGGCTGGGTGGTTTGTGGGGGTTTTTTGTTTTGTGTTTTTTTTCTTTTTCCTTTTTTTTTTAACCTTAAGCTTTAAGTTGAAACATTCTCCGATGTTTGGGGGGAAAACATCCTCTTAAAATGGGTCCTTGTGCTTGCCTTCTGGGGAGGCGGTCCTGAGCAGGTGAATCATATGGCATTTATGCATATGTTATATGCGGACTGCACCCACCTCTTCCCCCCCGCCCCCAACCTTTGCCTCCTGGGTTGTTATGCTACTTCCCCTTACTTTGCTACATTTCTATAGTTAAGTTGGTTTTACTTGAATGATTCATGTTTAGGGGGAAAAAAAAAAATGAAAATACCCTTAAGATTTGTTTCAACTCCTCCTGCAAATAAAATAAATGAAGTGGCAGATGTAAATGGTTCTGGTCATTGTCACCCTGAGTGGGGGTGGGTGGGTGTGGTGGGGGGCAGGTGGTGGATGTCCCCCATAGCAGCTTCAGGGAACCAGAAAGATGAGATGTCTGGGGGGTTTGGGCCCAGACTGTTGCAGCCCCATCCCCTCCAGCCGCACACAAGATTGTTCTGGGAGGAGCCTCAGCCAGTCTGTGTTGGGTAATAACTCCACATTCCCATTCCAGTGATTTTGCTTCATATCCTGTTCCTTAGACACCCTAGGAGAACCAGATTTTTCCACTCTGGTGTCATTGTAAGCAAGGACTTCCGTTCCAAAGCAGTGGGGCAGGGGTCAAGGGGTGTGGGTAACAGGCGTGGCCTTCTGTGTGTTCACCACTAAGCAGGAAGTTGATCTGAAAGTTAGCCCGGCCCACCTGGGACTGGCACTAACCTTTGCCAGCTCTGGCCTTGGCTGTAGGAAAGCATGAGCCTTGAAAGCTCCCGAAGTTGCCTTCCTGTCTTCCCCTGAGGAGAATCCCGAGGTGTTTCTTGAAACCAAGCTAGGCCCAGTGGCCTGAAGAAAGGGTTTTTAAGCTCCTCCTCTCCCCTTGAAGGGACCACAGGGATGAATACACCTCCCAAAGAAAGCAGCAATAACTTTGTGCACACTGAGCAACCACTCGCTCCACCCATCTAGGACCCGTCTGAGAGCGGTTGCTGCCGGCTGGGGGCCCCACCCTGGTATGCTGTCTCGACTCCCATGCAGCTAAAAGTCAGGAGAGTGTAAGCCAGGGACGGCTCTTTGCCAATGGCGAGTGGGAGACTCGGCCAAGGCTGGGATAAGGCGGGGAGGTAGCTGGGCAGATAGCTTGTCGGGGAGCTGTGACCCCAGCACTGGCCAGAGGTCCTGGAGTCCTTACCCATAGTTTGGGGGCCGAGCCTGCCGATCCGGGCCGCCCTCTCCCACACCCACTCCCTGCACCTGAAGCCCAACCTATGGGCTTGCGTCTCCGCCTCCTTGGCTTCACAATCTCGCGGTTAGTCCCACCCTACCTGGACCCAGTACTCGGCTGCCAACGCTACCACACCATCCTTCCCTGCTCGGCTCCGGAAGGAGCCCCGGAAGCCATGGGTATGTGCAGAGGGTTTGGGGTGGCTTTTCTGCCTGGAGATAGCATTAAAAGCCTACACCACTACTCCGCTCTCCCGCTGTCCACACTGGGTCCGGGACTCGCGCCAGGGCCAGTCAGCCCCGGCTGGGCTCTTCTGAACCGCGTGCCCGCGCCATCCTCCGCCCGCAGAGGTGCTGGTCCTGGCCGGATATCGCGCGCAAAAGGAGGACGAGCTGAGCCTGGCGCCTGGTGACGTGATCCGGCAGGTGCGCAAGGGGCCCGCACGGGGCTGGATGCGTGGAGAGCTGGGGGGCCGTTATGGCCTCTTCCCGGAGTCCCTGGTGCAGGTGAGGTCGAGCCGGAGGTCAGGCGGGGGTTCTCTGCGCGCTCCCGAGGTAGCCCCTCTCCCGGTGCGCTCTTTCGCAGGAGATCCCGGAGACTCTCCGCTGCTCGGGGGAAACGCCGAGACCGCGCTGTGCGCGCCGCCGAGGTGAGCGCGGGAGCACGTGGACGCGCGCGCGCGTAGCCCCCCAGCGCCCGGGTCGTCCCTAACTCGCCTTGAAGGGCGCGGCTCTGGGCGGGGCTGCGCGGCCACCGCGCGACCCGTGATTGGTTCTCGAGTACAATGCTCCGCCCTGGGGTGGGGCCTGGGCGCACCAGGGTGCGAGCGCGTCCCGCCCCTCCCCCAGCTCCGCGGTCTGGAGCGCGAGACTCAAGCTGCTTCACTCTCATCCGACACCAGGTCGCTCAGTCAAATTTCTGGGCCCCCGAAGATGGTGCAAGGCAAACTTCAACTACATCCCGGAGCAGACGGACGAGCTGCAGTTGCAAGCTGGGGAGATTGTGGAAGTGATAAAGGAGGTGAGGGGATGAGGTGATGAGAGGGGTTTGAGGGGAGACGATGGAATCTGAGTGAGGAGACATGGGTGCAGTGAGGTTGTGGGTGATGGAATCGATGAGTGGCACAGAAGTGGGAAAGTGAGTGAGCAAGGGAGGAGAGGGGTCATCGGGCAGAATCGGGGTGAATCAGGGTTTAAGATTGCTAGGGAGACTCTTGGGGCAGAACCAGATGACCTTGCGTCCTCCCCCCTTCCCAGATTGAGGACGGCTGGTGGCTGGGGAAGAAGAACGGGCAGCTGGGAGCCTTCCCATCCAACTTTGTGGAGTTGCTGGACAGTGGGCCCCCAAGTGAGACCTGGACCCTGTGACCCCATGAACCCCTGTGACCAGACTACAATCGTCAGTGACCTGCCCCAGTGGCCTGAACCTGTGATCTGCACATCTTGCCCTATGACCCCTTTGACCTCTCCCATGACCTCAACTGAGTTAGCACCCTCCCTAACCTCACTGTCCCCCACCAGGCCTTGGCAATCGAGACATCCCTTCAGTCATCCTTGGTCCCCAGCGGCCTCAGAAGGTAAACTGGGTGGAGTGGGCAAAGAGGTGGTGAGTACCTCTTAGGGGGTTGGAGGCTCAGCTTGGTCCTTCCCCTGCCCCCACTAGCTGAGCAGCCTGACCTATGACAGCCCTCCAGACTACCTGCAGACAGGTGAGCACTCTGCCAAAGGGTCCCTCAAAATCCTCTTCCCCAAGCCCCTGTGACTTGGGGGAGGGGGTGCCCAGGTAGGCTGATGGAGGAGGGAGCCTGTGACTTGGTTGGGGAGGGGACTTGGCTTCAGTGAACTGAATCCCCCTCAGTCTCCTACCCCGAGACCTACAGGGTCATGTTTGACTACCATCCTGAGGCCCCAGACGAGTTGGCGCTTCGGAAGGGTGATGAGGTGAAAGTACTGAGGAAGGTGTGCAAGGCACAGGGCAAGGGAGGGCACAGGGGTGGGGGATGTTGAGAAGGGTGGGCGTAGGGAAGGAAGGAGCTGGGGGGTCTGGCTCACCTCCCCACGACCTCTTGCTCTCCCAGGTCACAGAGGATAAGGGCTGGTGGGAAGGAGAGTCTCAAGGCAGAAGAGGACTTTTCCCGGATAACTTTGTGCTCCCACCACCCCCAGTGAGTACGGAGCCAGGCACGCTGGTGGCAAGGGGCAGGCTACTCTGGACAAAGTTGAGGGTGGCGGTACTCGCTGGACACAGTTGGAGGGCCGTCCACAAGTGAGGGTGGGCCTAGAAGTGTGAGGGCTCCTCTTCCGATTCTGACACTTCTTTCTGCGTAGGTCAAGAAGCTGGTCCCACGGAAAGTGGTATCTCAGGAATCAGGTGGGTGCCCAGGATTGCCAGGAAGCCTGGGATTGGGGAGCGATCTGTGGGAGGTCCACCAGTCCAGGTGCTCACAGACACCTATAGCTTCCCAGTGGTCAGTGCACACACTTAGGAGGTACCTCCCCATGGGTGAAAGGCCTGGTAGGAATGTCTGGTGGGTCAGTGTTAGGACTGTGTCACTTCGTGTGTGTTACTATGTTCCTGTTCCTCTGTCTTGAGCATGTGGCTATCATTCTCATCAATGACTGTGTTTACATTTGTTTCATTTTGTGAGGAAATGTATGGATCGGTATATCTGGGTCTTTGAGACTTTGTGTTAATGTATCTATCAAGTGAGTGAGAGAATAGCTCTGTTTATGTGTCAGTATATCTGTGGGATGTGTGTTTATGTTTTAATGTAATGCACACAGTCCAAAAATATATGTAACGTACGTGTTTTAAAACTTAACAACGAACACCCGTGGTTGGTCACCGAAACCCAAGGACTAGAACTGCCAGTGGTTTCTGTACTTCTCTTTTCCTTCTGATCCTCTCCCCACATCAGAGGTAACCACTAACCACAATCCTGAATTTTGAATAATTCCCCGGAGTTTTTAGGTGTATTCACTTATGTTATGTGCCTAAACGAGGTATCATTTAATATAGTTTTGTTTTGAGTTGTATAAAAATGGAATCATATATGTATGGTTTTCTTGTTTCCAGTCAACATTATGTTTCTAAGATTCACATCCATGTTGTGTGTAGATGTAGTTTATTTTTCTTTTCTTTTAAAATATCTATTCATTTATTTGGCTGCACCAGGTCTTTGTTGAGGCACTCAGGATCTTTGGTTTTCGTTGTAGCATGCAGGATCTTTTAGTTCCGGCATGCAAACTCTTAGTTGCGGCAGGTGGGATCTAATTCCCTGACCAAGGATTGAACCTTGGCCCCCTGCTTTGGGAGCGCAGAGTCTTAGCCACGGGACCACTAGGGAAGTCCCTGTAGTTCATTTGTTTTTCTGTGTTGTTTACTATTCCTTGAAGGAATTTCCACAATTTACCTGGTCTATTCCTGGTTAGACATTGTCACTGTGTTTTCACTCTTATAAATGGTGCAGCCATAAACACTAAGATGTGTCTGTCTCCGTGTGCAGCTGTGTTTCTCTACAATATGCAGTGGCGCTGCTAGATAGTAGGGTATGTGAATATTCAACTTTTATGAGGTAAAGTCACATAGGTCTCCACAGGATTTGTACACCTCACTCCGCCATTGGTCTATGAGAGCATACTGATCCACACCCTCTTAAACGCTTGCTATTATCAGATTTCATCATTTTTGTGAATCTGGCACAAAGCAGCATCTCATTGTTGACTTTTTGCATTTCCCTGGTTAGTGACAGCTGTTGAGTTCTTTATATATTCTGATTATGGGATGTACATGTTATAGATAGTTTTAGTTTATGGCTTTTTTTTTAATGAATAGAAGTTGTAAATTAAAGCTTTTTTTTAAGTATAGGTGATTTACAGTATTGTATTTGTTTCACATGTACAACATAGTGATTTAAAATTTTTACCTCTTATACCAATATATTGGCTATATTTTACAATAATAATAAATCCTTGAAGTGAAGTGAAAGTCGCTCAGTTGTGTCTGACTCTTTGCGACACCATGGACTATATAGTCCATGGAATTCTCTAGGCCAGAGTACTGGAGTGGGATCCTTCCAGTATTCCCTTCTCCCAGAAGATTCCCTTCTCCAGGGGATCTTCCCAAACCCAGAAATCGAACCCAGGTCTCCTGCAGTGCAGGCGGATTCTTTACCAACTGAGCTATCAGGGAAGTCCAATAAATCCTCACAGCTATTCAATAATAAATTCTTACAGCTTATTTATCTATATGTCATCTTTAAAAATTAGATTCCTCTCATGAATGATACATGATATTTGTCTTTCTCTGTCTTCACTTAGCATGATAATCTCTAGGTACATCCATGTTGCTGCAAGTAGCATTATTTTGTTCTTTTTTATGGCTGAGTAATATTCCATTGTATATATATATATATATATATATATATATACCACATCTTTTATCCATTCCTCCTCTGTAAATGGACATTTAGGTTGCTAGGAGTAATTTTAATGCAAACATATCAATCTTATCTTTAATGATTAGTAGGTGTTTTTGTTTAAGAAATTCCTTCATGCCTGAAGTTCAGAAAGACAGTCATTTATATTTTCTTTAAAACTTGTAAAGGGTTTCTTTTCATTTTTAAGTGCTTTTATCTGTGAGCATTGATTTTAGTGAGTGATCCAATTATACTTTTTTCCATATAGACTATCACTTGTTCTAGCACTATATATTATTTCTGCATGTGAATTTTATTGTGTTTTTTTGAAAATTAGATATCCCTTTTATGCCTGGACTATAGAAATACAGATTTTTGTATATTGATTTTATAGCCAGCCATGGTACTGATAATTTTAGTAATTTATCTGTAAGTCCTTAATACTTTTCTATGAAGACAGTCGTTTCATCTGTGAGTAATGACAGTTTGGCTCTACCTTTTCACTCCTTACAACCTTTTAAATTTCATTTTCTTATTTTACTTTAGTGGCTAGGATTGTAGTACAATATTGAATAGAAATAGTAATGCTGAACATCATTACTGTGTTCCTGATTTTAAATGAAATGCTTCAAACTTTTTCCCTTTCACAATGATATCTGATGCTTAGATCTTTTGTACGTGTGTTTTTGTCTGATTAAGGAAGATCCTTTCTATTTCTTTTACTTGGAATTTTTATCAAAAGTGGGTATCAAATTTTCTCATTGTTTATGTGAATCTTTTGAAATGATTAAATGGGTTTTCTTCTTTAATATGTCAGTGTAAAGATGTTTGTAGGATTTTCTAATACTGAGTCACCCTTATATTCTAGGGATGAATTCATATTGGTCATGGTTTATTAATTTTTTATATGCTATTGGGATACTGTCTCAGTTTTTTTTTTCCCCTTCAGATTTTTGCATTTATTTTTCCTGTCTTCATCTGATAATCAGTAATATACTGGCCCCTGAGTGAGTTAAGGAATATACTTTTTAAAACAGATTATTTGTTTATTTTGGGCTGCACTGGGTCTTCATTGCAGCACATGAGCCCTTTGTTGCTGTGTGTGGGTGGCGAGCAAGGGTTACTCTGTCGATGTGGTGTATGGGCTTCTCATTGCAGTGGCTTCTCTTGTTGCAGAGCGCAGGCTCAGTAGTTGGGGCACACGGGCCTAGTTGTCCCACGGCATGTGGGATCTTCCCAGGCCAGGACTTGAACCCCTGTCCCCTGCATCAGCAGGCAGATTCTTAACCACTGGACCACAAAGGAAATCCCACGGAATATACTTTTTGAGTTTTTTAAATATCTTTAAATATCTTTTAGATCTGACGTAAGATGGGAATCATCTTTCTTTGAAAGCTGATAAAATTTGCTTGTAGATTCATCTGGTCCTGTTTTATTCTGTTATGGGAAGATTTTAAACTACTTCAGTTTCTTTATAGTTATAAGCAAGTCTGGCTTCTGGCTCAAATTCTTTTTTTCTTTTTCTTTTTTCTTCCCTTCCCCACCTTCTGGCTTAAAGGAACAGAAACAGCTCACATTTTCAGAAGTTGGAAATCCACAGTCAGGATGTTGACATGGTCATGTTCTCTGTGAAGGATCTGGGGGAAGAATCTTCTCTTGCTGCTTCTTAGCTTCTGGCAGTCTTTGGCTTGTAGGCGCATCGCTTCGTTCTCTGTCTGTCTTCATGAGGTCTTCTGCCCTCTGTGTCTCTGTCCAAACTTCCCTCTTCTAATAAGGATACCAGTCACTGGGTTAGGGTCCACCCTAACCTAGTATGACCTCCTCGTAACTTTATTACATCTAGCAAAGAGGACTTTGCTTTGGAATTCAGAGGGAGAAGAAACCTCACACCTTAGGAGACTTACACAAGTAGCCTTCTGTCTCCTACTTCCTGGGTAACCATGGCTGACCAAAAATCTCATGAAAATTCTTGAATCAGTTCTAGTGAGTTATGTGTTCAGATTACCCATTTAATCAGTTTTCTAATCATTTGTATAATGTTGTTTATAATATTCTCTTATAATCTTTTTAATCTCATCTGTATCTGTAGTTAGTCTTTTCTTCATTTCTAATAATGTTTATTTTTTCCTCTCTTTTCTTATTCAATCTCTTATTACTATATTCTTATTAAGTCTCCTGTTAACAATATTCAAATACTTAAAAGAAAATTCTAACCATTTTTAAGTGTACAATATGTTAACTATATGCACATTGTTTTGCAAAAGAGCTCTAGAAATCACCTTTGTTTTTTAACTCTAGTTTGCGATTATTTTCCTTGGTGGTAAATTTGATGAGTTTAGACTATATTAATCATAATTATTTTATAATATTTTTCAATGATTCTTTTCTTTTTCTTCATATTTCACTTTTTTCATTTTCTTGGAAATTGCACACTTTATATTTTTCATTTTAGTGATTGCTCTTGAAATTTACCAGGTATATTTAACTTTACAAGTCTGAATTCAAAGTCTTAAACTTTCTCCTGAGCAAAACCTCCAACTATTGTTTTTAATTATTTCTCCTTTCAGTTCTGTAAGTGTTTTGTTTTATATATATTTGAGGCTCTGTTTTTAGGCACATATACATTTGTAATTATTATCTCTTCTTGGTGTATTCACCTGCTTATCATTATAACAGCTCCCTCTTTGTCTTCAGTAATTTTTCTTGTCTTAAAGTTTGTCCTGTCTGATATTAATATTTTGGTACTATTATGGTTACTATTCATGTGATATATCTTCCTCCAACCTTTTATTGTCAACCTATTTGTGTCTTTGAATCTGTTGTCCACAGTATATAGTTGGATCTTGTTTTTTTATTCAGTCTGACATTCTCTGCCTTTAAGTTGGGGTATTTAGGTCAGGAGTTAGCAAATTATGGTTTATGGGCCAAATCTAGCCTGTCATCTTTTTGGGGGGACAGGGGTGAACAGCTTTACCAAGATATATTCATGAACAATTCACTCCTTTAAGTAAACAATTCAGTGGTGATTAGTATAGTTATAGTTGTGGAACATCACACAATCAATTTTAGAACATTTTCATCACCCACTGTACTTTAAAAGAAGTTATTTATACATTTGACTGTGTTGGGTCTTAGTTCTGGGATATAGGATCTTCGATCTTTGTTATAGCATGCGGATCTTTAGTTGCACCCACAACTCTTAATTGCAGCATGTAGGATCTCATTCCATGACCAGGGATCAAACCCAGGCTCCTTGCATTGGGTGTGCGGAGTTTTAATGCTTGGACCATGAGGGAGGTTCCACCCGCTATACTGTTTATCCATTATCCCACCAGTTTCCCCATTCTCCCCTCCCCATCCCAATCAACCACTAATCTACTTTGTCTTGATAGATCTGCCTACATTTCATATACATGATATGTATCATATATACGTGATATATATGATACATACACATGATAATATACATATATTATATGATATATGGTCTTTCTAATGGGCTTCTTGCACCTAGAATAATATTTTCAAGTTTCATCCATTTTGTAGTATGTGTTGTACTTCATTCCTTTTTATTGCCCAATAATATTCTTTTTAAAAAATATTTATTTTATTTAGTTTTTGGCTGCCCAAGGTCTTAGTCGTGGCACACAGGATATTTTAGTTGCAGCATGTGGGATCTAGTTCCCTGACCAGGAATCAAACCTGGGCCCCCTGCACTGACAGGTAGATTCTTATCCACTGTGCCACCAGGGAAGGCGTGGCTATGAACTTTTGTGTACAGTATTTTATGTGGATATGCTTCCATTTCTCTTGGGTATATACCAATGAAAGACATCCTTCGAAGATCCCTTGGAGAAGGGAATGGCAACCTGCTCCAGTATTCTTGCCTGGAGAATTCCATGGACAGAGGAGCCTGGTGGGCTACAGTCCATGGAGTCACAAAGAGTTGGACTGAGCAACTCTCTCTCTCACACACACACACGATCTATTTTTAACTTTGAGAACTGGCAGGCTGTTTTCCAAAGTGACTGCACCATTTTATATTCCTGCTGATAGTGTATGAGGGCTCCAGTTTTTCCACATTCATCCCAATACTTATCTGTCTTTTGATTGTAACCATCCTAGTGGGTGTGAAATGCTCTCATTGTGGTCTTGCTTTGCATTTCTCTGAAAGCTAATGATGTTGAGTGTCTTTTCCTGTTTTTTGGCTACATGTATACCTTCTTTTGAAGAAATGGTCCTTTGCCCAATTTTTAGTTGGGTTGGCTTTTTACTATTGAGTTGTAGGAGCTCTTTGTATTTTCTAGATAAAAGTCCCTTATCATATATGATTTGCAAGTACTTCCCCCCATTCTTTGGGTTGACGTTTCACTTTCTTGATGGTGTTCTTTGATACACAAAAGTTTAAAATGTTTATGAAGTCACACCTACCCATTTTTCCTTTGGTTGCTGTTCTTTGGGTGTCATAGCAGTGAAACCAGTGCCAAATCCAAAGTTGCACACCATATTGATTAAGTTCTCTTCAACCATGGCAGCGGAGCTGCTGACCCTTCTCTGTCCCACCCTGGAGAACGGCCACATGGACCAAGGCAGCAGGAACTGGGGGAAGGAAGGGAGCAGGCAAGACACCATCAGGCACAAATGCTTCTCAGATTATTTTACACCTTTGGTCAGTATCCAAGCGCTGAAATGGTGGTTTGTCACTTTTAATCCAGCTTTATAGTTGCTGTGTGGGGAGAGGGTTTATCTACCACCTACCTTACTCAGCCATAGTCAAACCCCGCTTCTGTTACCTGTTCCTTTTAACACTGTTGTCAAATTTTCACTCCTTGTCTCATTCTACTTCTGGTTTACTAATTCTCTCTAGCTTTTATCTAGGTTTGATCTGCTGTTTAACCTATACACTGCATTTTATTTCACAAATGCTATTTTTCATCGCTAGTAGTTCAGAATTCTTTTTTTCTCTCCCTCCCTGAAAAACCTGCTTGTTTATGCCTAATGGTCCTTTTTTTGCATGCTCGTCCTTTATTTCTTCAGATATATTATGCATAGCTGTGCTGTGTTCCCTTCCTGACACTTCCAGCATCTGCTGTGTGTTGAGTCTGCTGACTGCTGCTCTCAGTGGCCTGCCCTCTCGCGTATTTTAGGATCTTTGTTTATGATCCCTATCTGTGGGAGTCTGGCCTGCCTCCGTAGGGGAAGAACTTCCAGAGAAGACTTGCTTTTACCCCTGCCAGTAGCCAGAGGGCGCCAACCACCAGCGACCACTGCAGTCCTCCGGAAGAAAGTGGTGCTAGGTTCTCGCTGCTCTGTGGCTGCCGCGCGTTGGGCCTGTGATGAGCCGAGGGAGCAATACCTGGGGTACCTGCTCCTCCTCACAGGTCCCAGGCTCTGTAGCCACAAAGTAGGGCTGCCCTTTCTGGCCCCAGTTCCTCCCTTTTTTGTGGATTTCTCCTACTTCTTGTATGTCCTGCTGCTGCTGCTGTTATGTCGCTTCAGTCGTGTCCGACTCTGTGCGACCCCACAGTCGGCAGCCCACCAGGCTCCCCCGTCCCTGGGATTCTCCAGGCAGGAACACTGGAGTGGGTTGCCAGTGCCTTCTCTGCTTGTATGTCCAGTGATGCCTTAAAATTGTATCCAAAAGCAGGATATAATTGCTCTCTAGTGGGAGGGTCCCACAGAACACCTAACCAGCCACACTACAAGAAGCTGGAGTCAGGATTTACATTTCCCGAGCATTTGACTGTATGCCAGCCACTAAGTACCTCACATGGGTCAAGTCACTCAGACCTCACAGCATCCCTGCAGGATGGGTATTCTTGTTGTCCATGTTTTATGGGTGAGGACATGGGGCACAGAAAGGTTAAGTTACCGGCCAGGTTCCCATCCATCTGGCAAGTAATAGAGCAGGAATTCCAAGCCCACTGTCTGGCTGTAGGAGCCATGCCCTTGCCCACCGTGACCCATAATTGGGGGATTCTATTTGTATCTGGGTGTGAGACCATGTGTGTGAGTCAGCTTCAGCATGCGTGCACGTGCCCAGGTGGCTGTTTCTGTAGCTGTGGAGATGAATGTCACTTGTGCGACTGCCTTCAGGTGCTCACTGACATCACCTTCCTTGATCACCCCATTTAAAATTATACACCCACCCTACTTATTCTTCCTCAGCACGACTAATAAATCTCTGTGCGTGTGTGCTAAGTTGCTTCAGGTGTGTCCAACTCTTTGCGACCTTATGGGCTACAGCCCACCAGGCTCCTCTGTCCATGGGCTTCTCCAGGCAAGGATACTGGAGCCCTCCTCCAGGGGATCTTTCAGACCCAGGGATCAAACCTGCATTTCTTTCATCTGCATTGGCAGGTGGGTTCTTTACCATTAATACCACCTGGGAAGCCCAATAAATATCTAATGTACTACATAGTTTACTTTCTAAAAAATATTGGTTTGGCTGTATCCGGTCTTAGTTGCGGCATGTGAGATCTTCCGCTGCAGCACACGGGCTCCAGAGTGCAGGCTCAGTAGTTGTGCCGTGGGGACTTAGTTGTTCTGCAGCATGTGGGATCTTAGTTCCTTGACCAGGGATCGAACCTGTGTCCCCTGCCTTGCAAGGTGGATTCTTAAGCACTGGACCACCAGGGAAGTTCCCACAGTCTACTGCTTTTGTTTGTGTCGGCTTTTCCAGTAGAACACGGGCCCTCTCTGGCTGCCGTGGGGCAAGCACACCGTAGGCAGGGTGGGTGCAGCCCGTGCCCAGGTTGGAGACTGCTGCAGTAGTTCCCGTGAAGATGGTGTGACTTGATCTAGAGAGCTTAAGTCGTGGAGGTGAGGATGTGTGGCTGGATTCAGGATGTGTTTAGGACAGACAGGACTTACTGATGGTTTGTGTGTGCGGCATAAAGGAATAAAAGCGTCAGGGAGGACGCCTCACTTTGTCATCTGAGTGAGTGGGCGAGTGGGTGAGATGGGGAACACTGGGAAAGGGGCAGATTCTGAAGACAAGGAGCTTGAGAAGCCAGAGGTTAGCTCTGCTAAGCGTGTGACGCTAAGTGGAAATACTGCGAGGGCCATCGGGTATGAGTCTGGAGTCCAGGGAAGAGGAAGGAGCTAAAGATGAAAATCTGGCAGTTGTTGGCTCATTGATGATAATTAGACTCATAAGACTGGATGAGGTCTCTTAGGGAGTAGACACGATAGAGAAGACAGAGGAGGGAGTATGGACTGGACGCGGGGTGGTTGTTGCCGTGGTCCAGGAAGCCGAAGAGTCTGAACCAGCACCGAGCCGAGTACAAGTCGTAGAAAAGCATGGATTAAAAATTGGTGGGATTTGGAGCCATCTCCCCACAAAGCCTTCCCTGACAACTCTGGGGTGCTCCTGTGGTCAGTGTCCCCAGAGCTCCCAGGAGCCGATCAAATATGATTCATCTCCTGTCACTAGTACCCTGGGCACACACAGGACAGGACAGGGTCAGTGACTCTTAGATGAAAGCAATGAGTGAGTGAACAAATGTCCCTCTCCTCCTAGCTCCTGTTAAGGAACCCAGAAAGATGATGCCCAAAACAGTCCTCCCTACAGTCAAGAAGCTGATGACAGCTCCCAGTGAGCCCAGCAAAACCAAGTAAGGAGCAGGGGAGGGGGAGGGAGGGTACAAGAGATGCTGCTCCCTGCCCCCACCCCCGGGTCTGATGGGGACATGTTTCAGGCCATCTCGGACACCCAGCGGAGACAGTCAGAAGCGCCCCTCCCGAAACTCCAGTAAGTCTCATTGCCTCCCTGCAGTGGGGTGAGGCCTGGGGTGGTTGTGCTAAGGGGACAGAGATGGGGAGAGGCTTGGAGTCCGAGAAGGCCTGGATTCTTGAGGGTCTGCTCTCACAGGCTCCAACAGCAGTTTCCAGCCTGGCAGAAAGCGATCCAAGACACAGGCTTCCCAGCAACGCCCTGCAGCCAGTCAGGTGAGAGGCTCGAGACCTGGGAGAGCAGAGATCCTAGACGGAGTCTGGTTCCCAGGGGTGTGGCGTGCGAGGGTGAAGGATCCAAGGCTGAGGGGAACCAGACTCAGACCATCAAGGTACCCATCCCTTGGCTGAGTCCGCATCCCCTTCACTACAGGATGAAAAGCAGAGGCGCCTTACAAAGGGCCCTCGTGTGAATAAAACCCCAATTCTGAACAAGACCACCAGCCCAGAGAAGACACCAACTCTGGATAGGGCCCCCAGACCAGAGAAGACGCCACCTCCAGATAAGACCCCCAGTCCAGAGAAGACTCTGTCTCCAGATAAGTCCCCTAACTCAGAGAAGACCCCACCTCCAGTTAAGACCCCCAGTCCAGAGAAGACCCTGTCTCCAGATAAGTCCCCTAACCCAGAAAAGACCCCCACTCCAGAAGAAACCCTAATTCCAGAGAAGGTCCCTACCCTCGAGGAGACCCCAACCCTGGAGGACAGCGCCCCCAGTCCAGACAGGGCCCTTTCTGGGCATGAGGCCCAGGTCCCAGAAGTCCTACTTGAAGATGAGGCCTTTGGTCCAAAGACGGTCCCTCCGGGGGATGAGGCCCCCACCCTAGGAAAGGTCTTGACCCCGGAGCCTGTGCTCTCTGAAGAGGCCTCCGCTGGAGACAACAGTCAGTTCCATCACTTCCCTCCGGAGGAAGACCCCCCGCCAAACGCCAGGCCTCTTGAGGCCAGTGAGGCTCAATCTCAAGAGGAGGTGCGCACACCAGAGGAGCCCCCCCTCGGCGTGGTGAAACAGCCCCTGGAGAGGAAGGCCAGCTCCCCTCTCCAGCCCAAGTCCAGCGCCAAGTCAGGGTCCGCGCCTGCCCTTGAGAAGGCCCACCCCCAGGAAGGGCTGACGGCCCTCCTGGAGGAGGCACCGCCGAAGGCTGAGACTACCCTCAAAGAGCAGGAGTCTCCCAAAGAAGGGGTGCCCTCCAAAGAGGTAACCCCTGCTCAGCAGAATGCGGGGCCCCAAACGCCCCCTACCCTGCACTCCTCGGTCCCGCCAAATCTCACAGACCGCAGAAGAGACGGAGACGACATGTTGAGGATAAAGGACCAGGTGGAGGCTTTAAGGAGGTCGCTGGAGCAGATGGGGGTGCAGCTGGAGTAAGTGGGGGAGAGGTGCGGGGAGGCGAGGGTGCGGGCTCTAGGCTTGCCCTGCCCACCCCTTCCCCTGGGTCTCCCGCATCCGCAGAAAGAAACTGATGGACATCTCGGAGGAGCTGAAGAGCGAGCGGGAGAAGCGCCTACTGCTGGAGGTGGGTGGGGTGCGGGTCTCAGGCCGGGCGGGGGCGGAGGCGGAGGCAGGCGGCGGGCCCTCCCCTGACGCCCTGTCCCCACCAGGTTCAGATGAAGCAGAGGACCCGGGACTTCATCCACGCGCAGACGCAGACGCACTGAGGGTGGGCCCGGGAGGGACTGCGGCGGGACCTGGAACGAAGTCAGGCTCCGGCCACCCACGTCCTTGCACACGTCTTCGGAAAACGCCAGAAAGTAAACTGCCGAGTACGCGCGCCACGCCTCCCTGGTCCGTGCAGGGCGGGGCTTGCGCGGTGGGGCGGGGCTGGCGCTTGCGTTCTCCACCGGCTGCATTCCTGGCAGTCGCTCGCGGGCACATCTGGCCAACATGTGGCTCCCATTACCGTTCCCAAGGCCTGCGCACGGCTATTTTTATCCACCGGATGGCGGGGGGGTGGGGAGGGTGTCTCCTTCGGACGCCAGCCCCCCCCCCCCCCCTCCACGCTGGAGAAATGGCAGGCTGGAGGGGCCCTGGAGGGTTCGGGGATCTGCCCGTGGGCCGGATTCCGGAATCCAGCTGTGCGCCAGGGGAGGGGCCGGCCCGGCCTGCTCTCCAGCCCAGACCCCTCCCAGCTGGTCTCGCTGCCCTTTCAGAGGGACTCATAGGAATTCAGTGACTTACACGAACTCCACGGCCCAGCTCAGGCACACTTGGTTACACGGGGTAATAGCACCTTAGCGTCAAGGTCAGGGTCCCGAGGCCTTGTGTGCATGTGTGTGTGTGTGATTGAAATGATGCATAAGCCCAGGGCATTTGTAGAGACATGGGCGACCTGTACCCAGTCGTTTCCTGGTAAGGAATGCACCTTAAGGAATGCGGCTGATTGGTGTGCGTGCGTCTGTGGGTGCAGCAGGCGTGTGTTTTTGCCATGTGTGAACTGAATGGAAGCCTGTGTGCCGAGGTGTAAGTTGCATGGAAGGAGGTGGGCAGCCTGGTAGAGGGGTCTCAATCCTGGGTTCCCCTACATGGCAAGAGCCTAGGGGTTATTAGAAGCAAAGGTAACAGAGATTGAGTCACTGAAAATGCAGCTTTCATTGGTCATGTCACCTCTTAACTGTCCCCCAGAGAGGGGAAGGGGACCCTGCGTCCTACCCTACCCCCAGGGCCTTCTGGCTGGACTAGGGAAGGGTGTCTCCCAGAGCGCCAGAATCCAGGCCTGATAGCACCAGGGGAGCCGTGGGGGCGGGGCCTCCATAGCACCGTGGGCAGGGGCAGTCCAAAGGTCCTGGGGCAGCTCCGGGCCCCTACGCATGTCCTGGACACTGAGCACCTCACAGCGCGAGTGGGGCCGGTCAGTAGTAGTGCATGCGGCCCAGGGTGCCCGTGCCCGTGGGGCTGGGCCCCAGGGTGCCGGTGCCCAGCAGGTCCGGCTGGCCGGTGCGCCAGATCTCTCGCAGAATCCGTTCCCGTTCCTCCAGCCGCTGGGCCCGCTCCAGCTCCTCCGCAGAAGTGAAGACGTTGACGCTCAGGGGCCCGTCGGGCTCCGCGGACAGTTCGGGGCCCGGCAGCGTATCGTCGGGGCCCAGCCGCGTCACTGTGTCCTCCTCGTCGTCGTCGTCCTCGTCATCCTCGGCTTCCAGGGTGCTGCTGCGGGGGTCCCGGCGTGGGGCGGGGCCCCGGGGCCGCGGGCGGGGTGCACAGGAGATGCTGATGACTAGCAGGCACAGGGTGAGGAGCAGCCCAAAGCAGACGCCCAGCACGAAGTAGAGGCCGAAGCTCTCGGGGTTAGCTGGGGGTCAGAGGGCAGAAGTCATGGAGGGGGCCTGATGCGTGGGGGTCACCCCATCTCGAAAAGACTCCAGGTTCTAAGTTGGGGGGCAAAGAGCACCCCCTATTTGAAGAACCTTAGTAGCCTCCATTGGGCAGTCAGGGGAGTGAGGATGGGGGTGGGTGGGAGTAGGTGACAGGTTAAGCGGGGGGGGGGGGGGGGGGGCGGTTATAGTCAGGGGCGGAGGAGGGGAAGGAAGGGGTGGAGGGGGGCCTGATGGGGCGGGAAGGGGTCCGTGTCCCGGGGTCTGCCCTCACCGCGGATGTGCGCGTAGGCCGCCAGGCTGTTGCTGAGCAACTCCATGTCCCTTCGGGGGGCATCCATGTTTCTCTGGGGGCGCAGCTCCCCTGTTAGCCTGCGAGGTCAGCAAGGTCAGAACCTTCGCTCTCTCTAGAGCCGACCCTGCCGACTCGCTTCTTCCTCGGGGCAGCTCCGCTCCCTGGAAGGGCAGTCCCAGCCAGGTTCCACCCTGGAGAGAGCGGATTCCTAATTTCCTTGCACACTTGGGCCCTGGCTGGGGGTGTCCTTCCCCTGGGCGCGGACGCCCCAAGAACCTGAGGGACCGGGGAGTGAGCCGCAGGAGGCTCCGCCCCCTGGTGGGGTCCCCCAAAGAAGCCCGCTTTCACCGTCCGGGAAGCGCGATGGAGGAGGGAGACGCGGGCGCCTTCCCACTCCCTGGGCGGGCTCCGCGAAGGGAAGCCGCCTCCCTCTCCCATCCCGCCCGCCCCGTGGGGATCCCCCGGCCCGGAGGCCCGGGCTCACTCACCGTCAGCGCCCCGCTCCCCTGCTGCCCGGCCCCGGCGCGTCCGGCGGCCGCAGACACCCGGGGCCCGGCCGCTCCCGCCCCGTCCGGTCCCTGTCGCCCGCCCGCCTGTCCGCCCGGCTCGGCTACCAGGCCGCAGCAGCGCGGGCCGGACTCAGGCTGATGGATCGGCCGGCGGAAAGTTTCCTCCGAGGAAAGAGGAGGGACGGGGCGGGGCGGGGCAGGGGAGGCGGGGAGGAAAAGGGCCGGGAGAGGAAGGGGAGAGGAGGGTGAAGTGTGGGGGGGGAGCCTGAGGGGCCGTCTGCTCCCCCACAGGAAACCGCTGGGGAGGCGGGTTGCAGGGACCCGCCCCCCAGGCTGCTAATAACAATAATAATGAGGATGGGGTTCTGCTGAGGTGTCAGGCAATGGGCTAAATCCTTTACAATATTTTTTTTCCCATTTAATACTAACCCTATAACGTGGGGACCATCCCCGGTTGAGGGATAAGTCAGCTGAGTCATGGAGAGACCTAATAGCTTTACCCCAGTGGTCAGGATTTGAACCCACAGTTCTTTGACCCTGGGCTCTTAACCCATTCCCTAAACCTTGCTCTTCCTCCCTGGAGGCCCCCTCACCCAGGGGAGACTGCCCCTTTCCCCAGTTAAGATGCCAGACCTCTCTCAGACGCTCTGCCACAATGTCCAGGGCAGGGGCTCTCCACCCCTCCTCCCAGAGCCCCCTCCACGAGTGTGTCCAGCTGGCCCAGCTCTGGTCGTGCAGGGTTAATGAATGTTGGACTCTGGCTTCAAGCCAGACCCAGGCCAGCCTTGCAGAGCCCAGCCTGGGGCTTCTGCTGGCCCCTATGCCCTTCTGCCACCAGAGCACAGGGCAGAGGTGTCTTTGGCTCTGTGCTAAACTTGCTGGTGCATGTGCATGCATTTCCACCCAGGCTCAGGGCTTGTGCCTGCAACATGTGTGTGATCAGCATGCGGCCAGGTCTTCTTCCTGCCCAGACTCCCAGCCACCCCCCGCCTTTCGGGCCCCCCTTCCTGTGCTGGGCCTGGGGTGAGGGGGAGGCCTTCTTGGCAGGAGCCTTAGAGAGGAGGAGGGAAGGAAGGGGGGAGAGGAAATTGCAGACATAGCTGAAGGCACAGCCTGAGGCCTTGGGGCCAGTGACCCCCCTTTCTGTCCAGGCTGGAGACCCCCCGCTCACAGTCCTGAGTCTGGGTTCAAGCAGAGGGCAGATCTTGTTGGGAAAAGAACTAGGATGACTACCATGGGGAGGGGAAGGGGGCTCTTGGTGTCTCTGTGACTGTTTAGTCTGTTCTGTGAGTGTGTGTGGAAGTGTGTCTGCCCATGTTTGTATATTTGTGTCTATTTCCGTGTTCTATCTGCCTGAGCACTTTGGTGAGGTTGAGTATGTCTGTGTATCAGTCCATTCAGCCGCTGGTCAGCAAACGCTAATTGGTCTGCTTAGCACTTTCTAGTAATGGGGTTCAGCAGTAAACAGCACGGATGCAAATCTTGGCTCTCTAGGAGCTGACACTAAGGTGGAGAGACAAACAATACATGGGGAAGATGGTCCTAGGTGCTGCTGAGTGCTCAGAGGGTGATGGAGTGGGGCAGTGTGATGAAGAACATCAGCTCTCGCACGTGCTGTAGGGAAGAGACTTGAATCCTGAAGAAGGGGCACCTAAGCTGAGATCTGCAGGAGGGTGTCGGGCAAGAAAAAGGCTGAGGGCCCCTGAGGTAGGAGTGTCTGGCTTCACCTGGCTCCCAGGGGGGACAGGGGAGGGTGATGGGGTGATTGTGAAGGGGCTGGCAGGCCTGCAGAGGCGCTTGGATGTTATTCCAAGTGTGATGGGGCCCCTAGGTTCCATCAGAGAGTGTCATGGTTCCGTGATGCACTTTGGAGAGGTCCCGGGGGTGAGCGGGGCTGGGGGGGGGGGGCTCCGGGTAGGAAAGGGGCTGCAGGACAAGAACAGAAAGAGGGGGAGCCGCGTGCTGGCTGGCAGCCATCCAGGCCAGCAGTGGCTGAGGGCTTGGACCAGGGGCGCTGGTGGAGGTGAGCCAGGCTCAGACGCTGATGGGGGTGGCAGCAGGCTCTCTGCACTTCACGAGGACACGAGGGAAGCAGGAATGGAGGACCGCTGCTTGGGTTGGGCCCGAGCACCTCAGGAAAGCTCAGGTGGGGAGCACGATGTAGGGAATTCAAGTTCCATTTCAGGTGGTTGATTTGAGAGGTCCATAAGAATCTGGGTGGAGCCATCAGACACACAGGCGCGGCCCAGAGGAGTCTGGTCTGCCTGGGTGTGTGTTTGAGAGTCCTCAATGCACAGGATGGATTGAACACCCCGGGAGTGGCTGAGGTCGCCCAAGGGACAGGAGAGGAAAGAGCTCTGGATGCTGCATTTCGGGTCTCCTGCAGGAGATGGCAGTCCGTGAGGGGGGAGGAAGACCTGACCAGGCGAGGGTGTGATCAGCCGTGTTAAATTGGGCTGCGAGGGTAAGGTGAGGCTGGAACCCAACCCCTGGCTGTGGGTTTCCTTGGGTTGCACTGACATGTTCAGTGCCTGCCGTCCGTGGGAGTGTCGGTGTGCGGCGGGTGTGTGGGTATGGCCAAACCTGAGTGTGTGTCGGTTTGTATGGCACACACCTGTGCTCCATGTGGGTCTGTGTGTATGCCTGTCTGAGTGGGGGCTGTGAGATGTTGGATATGTTTGTATTAAGCTGTTGACTTGCATCTGTGCTATGCAGATCTCCGGGTATTGCTACGTACAGACGAAGGTGTGTCTGTGTTTGGGTTGGCGTGTGACTTGTGTGCGTGGGTCAGGTGTGGCTCAGCCCTGGGGAAGCAGGTGGCCATGTTAGAGCAGAGAAGGAGTTGAGATGGTGGCTGGTCCCTCAGTGAGAGGTACCCAGAGGGCTGCTTTTTCCAGGGGGTCGGGGGGAGGCACGTGGCCAAACCAGGCCAGAGGTAGGAGAAGTGGCAGGCTTGCCCAGAGGGTTCAGAGAAGCTGGGAGCTGCTCCTCAAGGCCCTGGGAGAGGTGCCTGAAGCCTTTGGCCCATGTGGTCCCTGATACCATCCCCCTGCCCTCCTGGCCACCTGTCTATCTGCTTTTCTGCCTGCCTCTGCCCACCCGCCAGCCTGTCTGTAGGTCTGCCCGGGCACCTGCTTCCTGGTCATGCTGGCTAGGATCTCTGTGTATCTGTCACCTGCCTGCCTGGCTTGCATCCCACTTCTCCACCTGCTGATTTCCTCCCTGTCTGTCAGCCTATGGCTGACCTGCTGCCTGCCCACCTGCCTGTTTGATAGCTGCCTTTCTGTCCTGTCTGCCTGTGAGACTAAACATTTGTCACCTTGGGAGGCACAGAGTGTTCCTAAGATGACGCACAGGAAAGACAGGTATTAAGGGCTGGTCATTACTTTGCCAATAAAGGTCCGTCTATTCAAAGCTATGGTTTTTCCAGTGGTCATGTCTGGATGTGAGAGTTGGACCATAAAGAAACCTGAGGGCTAAGGAACTGATGCCTTTGAACTGTGGTGTTGGAGAAGACTCTTGAGAGTCTCTTGGACTGCAAGGAGATCCAACCAGTCCATCCTGAAGGAAATCAGTCCTGAATATTCATTGGAAATACTGATGCTGAAGCTCCAATACTTTGGCCACCTGATGTGAAGAACTGACTCATTTGAAAAGACCCTAATGCTGGGAAAGATTGAGGGCAAGAGGAAAAGGTGATGAGAGAGATTGAGGTGGACTCGATGGACATGAGCTTGAGCAAGCTCCAGGAGTTGGTGATGGACAGGGAGGCCTGGTGTGCTGCAGTCCATGGAGTCACAAAGAGTCGGACACAACTGAGCAACTGAACTGAACTGAAGGGGTGATCAGAAGGCTGAGAGATTCAGAGCCTCTGGGACGGCCCTTGGGAAGCCTGGCATGTTCAGGGCCCAAGGCAAAACCTGACTCTGCCTCCTTCTCCAGTGGCCCAGGTTGGGGCCAGGCCTGGCTGCTCTGCTCCTGACATCAGGGCCTCACCCCACCGGGGCTTCAAGGGCTGGCCTAGCTCTTGGGTGGAGGGAAGAAGGGGACTCACTTAAGGCCTCCTAAGACCTGTCTAGCCCTCTGAATGCCCCCTCAGCACCTGGGACAGCTGCTGGGAAGAGGAACTGTTCAGGTCTGGGATGTGAGTCATCACGGGTAGGGATGTTGAGTATCCTTTAGGTATCTGGCACCCTGCTAAGCACTGTGCTCGTCTCAACCCTTCAGATCCTCTCACTAACCCTGTGTGACTTGTAATGTGACCTCCATTCTTTAAATTCATCTTTATTGGGGTGTAGTTATTTTACAATGTTGTATTAGTTTCTTGCTCTGAAACTAACAGCAAAGTGAATCAGTCATAAGTATACATATGTGACTCCCATTTTACAGAGAAGGAAAGTGAGGCTTGGAGGGGTCAAGTGGCCTGTGTACAGTCACAGGAATGGAAATTAACGGGGCCTGGATTTGAACTTCAGATCCATGTTCCCTACCAGTCTTCCACATGACAGTTCTAGGCCATGGTTCTCCACATCTGTCAGACCCAAAGCTGCCTTTTCATGACATTTTCTTTTTTATTGTTTTGGCTGCATCAGGCCTTAGTTGTAGCATGCGGAATCCATTGTTGCGGTGCAGGGGGCGTCTCTCTAGTCACAGCACGTGGGCTCCAGGGCAGATGGGCTCCAGGGCACGCAGTGTGTGGGCTCTGTAGTGTGTGGGCTCAGCTGCACCACAGCACAGGGGATCTTAGTTCCCCAACCAGGAATTGAACCAGCATCCCCTGCGTTGGAAGGTGGATTCTAAACAACTGGATCACCGGGGAAGTCCCCATATTTTCTATTGCTTCTTTTGTGTTCTGGAAATGAAATTTATGGCTAATAAACCCACCTCTAATTAAAATCAATATATAATTAAATCAAAATTAATATATAATTAAATCACATTATATGATTAAATTAATATAGATAAGATAGTTTACATATGTACATATATTCTTGTCCTATAATATATATAAAAGAAATAAAGGGTAATGTTGTATATTTGTAAACTGGTTAATTCCCAGGAAGGTGACAGCTAAAGGTGCAGACCTGAGATAGTGTCAATGTCTGAAATGGTGGTAAACTCTTGGTTAAGTTCTGAACAAAAAGTACACATTTCTTCCACTTTACACAGTAGTTGCCTTCCCAGAAAATTTAGTGTATATTATGGATACACAAGTCCTCTGTGTTTATGTATAAAATGGTGTTAGATTCTTGGCTCCGGTAATTATAAACACATTTCTTCACTCGTTTTGAGCAGGATGTAGAATCTGCCTGCCTTCTGGGGTTGTCTGGAGTCCCTGGCCCGAGCCCCCTAAATGCCAGCAGCCTCTCACCGCCCCCCACCCTCTACCCCCATCATTGTGATAGCCAGCCCCCAATTCCCCACCCCAACATGGACACATGGAAAAGCCTCCCACCCCTCATGGAGCTCAGCATTTGAGTCGGGGAGACAGATATCGTCACTAACCACACGTCTCTTGTAATAACAGACTGTGATGAGCACAATGATGGGAAATAAAGCCGGGGAGGGGGTGAGGGAAGACCCAGCGGACATGGCCAGGCACAGCTCCCGGCTGGCTTCTCTCTGAAGCTATCTCCCCGAGGACACTGGGGATCAGGCAGTCACTAACACAGGTGGGAAATCTTGGTTCTTGTTTTGACCCTTCAGAAGCATAGGAGGCTGTTGATCATACCCACCTTTCTGGTACTTTCCCCTTGCTTTCCTTTCAGGGCTCACACAAAAAATACTGGTAAAGGGGGATCTGGGAAGTTTAAGTCAATGAAGCAACAGTTCTGGTGTGAGAGCTGCGGCCAGTAGTAGGTGCCGAGGACTCAATGAGCCCAGGAGTCCGGCTGCACACAACTTGCTGCTTGGGCGGTGCTGAATGTTAGCCTGACACTTGGGTGCCCAGGTGGTACCTGTGCTCAGGACAGGCTGATCGGGTCAGGGGTGCAGGAGGGAGGCTGAGATGGAGATGAGGCCCTGGGGGTCAGGCTGTGGACCTGAGTGTGGCTGGGGTGGGCAGAGAGTGCCGGCAGCTTCTGACCTGGGACAGCGTGACAGATCAGGAAAAGGGAACATCTGTGTAGGCTCGGGAGTGGCCAGGAAGATGGGGGCCGCTTGGCTGCTGGGGTAACTGTGGGAGGAGGGAAAGGTGGAGGCCTGGGGGCCCGCTCTGAAGAATCTTCAGAGAACCAGGGCCTTCCCAGAGAACCCTGGAGGGGTGCCGCCCCCACTTGCTGTGTGGACACCTGCCTGGGAAGGGGCTCCTCTGTCATGGACCGCTGTTCCTGTTGTGACCTGGGCCTGTGTGGGTTCTGAACACACAAGTGGGTCTGCCTGTGTGCTATGGGGGATGCTGGGGACAGGACCAGTCCGCCTCTAGCTCCAGTGCTCAACTTGCAGAGTCTAAATTTAGGTGAAGGAAGGAAGGACCCCCCCCCATCCCCCCGCTTGGTTTCCTATGGAGGGGAGGGTGGTGTAGGAAAAAGCCCGGCCTTTCTTACCCCAGCTGCCCTGGATGGGCACATGGGCGGTCTGTCTGGCTAGGGTTCCCCCACCCCAGCTGGGGGGTTTGGTGGTGAGAGAGGATTAATGCTCTGGTGGTTGCAGCTGCTCTGGGACACATCCTTCCTGCATAGGTCAGGGCTGAGCCAAGCCAGGCAGAGAGTCCCCCTTGGGACTTGGCAGGAAGCTGGACCAAAGCGGGCTGGGAGAATGTTGGGTGGTTCTGGCTCCCCCCCCGCCCCCCAGCTTCGAGACGACGATGGCTGCTGGGATGGAGTGGGGGTGGGGCACCCATCCAGGGCCCCTGGTGGCAGAGCCCAGAGTGAAGGGGTCCTGCTCTGCCTGGCTGGGTGGCAGGGATGGCGACGCGGCGAGGAGGGAAGAAACGATGCAGATCACGCTGGCTCCAGGTCAGGAAGTTTTATTGCTGACATGCAGGAAGAGTCCCCATGTAGTACAAAAATATGACTTTATACAAACTTTTTTGTGACTTTTTCCGTTTTTGTTTCTTTACAGTAGGACTTCTCTCAGCATGTGACACCCAGTGAGGGCAGACCCAGCCTCCTTTCGTTTGCTTTGCCAGAAATTAATCAGACGGATGGGTTGACCTTGGAAGGGACCAGTCTGTCTGACAGGCTTTTGTGGACCGGGAGGATATTGCTTTGAAAAGGAGGAGAAGGACCACCAGGTGAGCGGGCCCAGAGGGTCTGGGCGGGCGGCCGGACAAGGGGCTCGGGTGAGGCCCTCACAGAGAGACAGTCACAGGCGCTGGGAGCCCTGGGTGGGACTGCATTTCCACTCCTTAGGAGACTTCTTTTTTGAAATAAATATAGAAAAGAGGGCATCCCACCCCCAGCCCCACCCCCGCGCAAGAACCTGGCTCTCAGCGGCTGGACAGCTGAGGGAGGCCAGCCTGGTGCTCAGGGGGGTGAGTGCAGGGCTCAGGTAGGCCCCGCGGACCCACTGAGGCAGAGGCTCGAGGCGCCCGCGTGCCGGGGTTGGGGGTGGGGAGGAAGGAGGCGTGGGTGGCCCTGCTACTGCTGGCAAGAGGTGGCCCCATTTTTTCCAGATGGGGAAACTGAGGCACAAGGAGGTTTTCTTTTTTTTTTTTGGGACCTTGCCCAAGTCACTCACAGTGAGTCAGCTTTTGGGGAGGGCGCAGCTCACACGCTGGGGAACAAGGTCACACGGGCCTCAGTCACCTCCCCCACTGGGCAGGCAGGGCAGGGCTGAGGGCCCAGGGCGGCCTGGAGGGGGATACTCGGCTGCTCTGAGGGGCTCGGGGGGGGGGGGGCAGGCAGGTCAGGGGAGGGTCTCTGCTTGGCGCTGGGCAGGGCCAAGTCCAGTGTGGGAGAGCGGGGAGGGGGACATTCTGGTGAGAACAGGGTTTTCTGGCAAGACGGGCATCCACTTCAAAATCTCGGCTCAAAAGGGCAGTGGGGCTGTTCTCAAGCCAGGCAGGGCCCCCGGCCCCTACAGGTCTCCCTCGTGAGCCCTGCAGCCCCCAGGAAGGACCCTGGCGACCCTGGCGGTCTGCTGGGAGAGACACCGCCTCTGTTACGAGGCAGGGGGCAGGGATGCCTCTGCTCTTCTCTGAACAGAGGGGTGCCGGCTGCGCTCACAGCTGGCCAAGGACCCCCTCCCATCTGGGTCAGCGTCACCTCGGTACCACGGTGAGGGGTGGAGGAGGAAACCAGGGCTAGTGAGGGTGTGCAGCACCTCAGAGAAGCTGAGCTGGGAGAAAGAGAAGCCAGTCTAGAAGACCTCCTCATCACCGGAGGCAAGGAGGGACTGGTGGGCTGGAGATGGAGGGGGCCGGCAAGAAGGGGCTTCTGAGCCCGGGGCTGAGGAAGGGGCCCACTGGGGGCTGTGGGCTCCCCTGCTGTCCAGCCAGGCTGGGGGCAGCGAGTCGCCACGGGCCAAACCACCTAGAGATGGCAGAGAAGCTGGTTTCAGTACAAAAATAAATATATTTGATTCCGCTTAAGATGAGGTGAGAGTTTTCCAAAGCTTGGACTGAGGGGCCTGGGGTCAGAAGGGGAGGGATGAAAACAGACTGTGAGGGGCCTGGGAGGGCAGTGGGGAGTGGGCGCTCTTGTGGGGAGCCAGCAATGAGCTGCACTTTCAGCTTATGTGGACTATTGGGGGGCAGCTGCCCCCTGGGGATTGGGGGTCAGGCGGGTGGGCTCCCTCCTCCTCCTCCTCACTCAGTCCAGAGACAGCATGGTTAAAGAGACAGAGGTAGATTAAAACGTTATGATTAAAAGCAGATTAGTTATCTAGGCTTCTCAGATTAAAAAAAACCAAACAATCAAGCAATCATTCCAAAAGGTAGCTTCGCGGTACCTCTGCTGACCACACGGGTGACCTGGGCTGTCCCTGCCCCGTTCCCGGCGCAGCCCAGGCGAGAGTTCAGCACTGCGATGGGGCGGCCGGGCCACTGGCTGGGGGCTGGGACGAGGTGGTGGGCGGGCGCCGGTGCCCCTGCCCGAGGCTGCTATTTCCGCAGGTAGCGCTGGGCCAGGATGGCCGCGTCCAGGGGGTTCACGGGCTGCGCATCGTGGCCCAGCCGGCGCACGGGCGGCACCCCCGCCCCCGACGGCCGCTTGGGCGCCCAGCCGCGGGCCTCGTGTCCGGAGCTCTTCTCCTCGGCCAGCAGCAGCTGTTGCCGCATGTAGTTCTCAAATTCATACTGAGAGCTCTCCTCTGTCACCTTTGCCTTCACAGCGGAGACGGGCAGGCCGAGCGACAGGCGGGTGTGCGAGAAAGAAGAGCAGGGGGACGTCAGCTGGCTTGCCACAAGAGGCCCCCTCCCCAGGCGCCACCCCCCTGGGCCCAATCTAGTAGTGGCCAATACGGGGGCCGGCGGGGAGGTCCCTGAAGCTCCCCAGCCAACCTGGACCTTGCTGGGCTGGCCCTCAGACCTGTGACCTCCCAACCCGCTGACCGCGGGAGAGGTCACGTTCCCTCAGAAGACCTGGTGCCCGCCTGTGCGATAGGGTGGTACGCTCCCCTCCAAGAGGCCCCCCGGCACCAGTGCAGGCCAAGTGTTAGGGTGGCCTGGGCAACCCTGTTTCTCTGTCGTGCCCCAGGCTGAGGTCCCTGGAGAAGCCCACGCGCAGTCACAAACTGAAGTGGGAGGCCCCACCGCAGGGGGCTGGGGGAGAGCAGGGCTGTGGAATCAGGCTGTGGTTGACTCTGAGCCCTGTGGCTTTGGGGAGGTTACTTTCCCTCTCTGAACCTGTTTCCTCTTTAGTGAAATAAGAACACACACGGGTTGCACAGGCCTGCAGTGAGGGCTGAGTGAGATGCACTTGGGGGCCCTCACTGCTTGCTAGGGGTGATTCTTTTTAGCTGCTAAACAGCCCTGGGGGCGGGTGGGAGCTGGGGGCGGGGTTCTGAAATTCTTCGAGGACAGGGGGCTCTGCTGTGGTCCTGGGCTGGCTCCACCCGGTCCCCCCGTCCAGTGCTTGCTGTGAGACTCGGGGTAGCCCAGAGACGGAGGGTCCTTACAGCTTCCCTGCCAGGACTCAGCAAGCCCTGCCCTCCAGGGGGCACCCTAAGACCACCCGCCGGCTGCTGCCAGGCATCCTGGGCCCGGCCCCTACCCCTGGCCCAGCACTTTCTCCAGTGCAAGGGACAGGGGAGGAGGGAAAACCGGGAGAAAATGAATCATCTGAAAAACGAAAAGCAGGAAGGGCGAGAGAGAACCCTGTGACTCAGAGGGGCAGAGAAGTGTGGCTGTATAAAGGGCCAGCGTGTGGCAAAGCCAGGGCCTGGGCAGGAAGAGGAAGCCACCTCGGCTGCCCCACCGCCCCCTCTCAGGCCACGGAACTGCCAGCTAAGCCAGACACAAGGCAGGCCCTGGGCGGCTCAGGCTGAGGAACTTGAGGCTCCCGTTCCCACTCCAAGGGCTGGGGAGAGGCCAAGGCGGCCCAGCGCCCTGCCAGGAGCTGCTACCTCCGCCCTGCCCAGCCTGCCCTGCCTGGAGGGCTGGTGCCTCAGGAATTGGCCAAATGGCCTGGCTGCCATCCCCAACTCACCTCCTGGGAGCTGTCTGCGTTGCTCATTTGGTCGTCGATGTCAGGAACCACCTGCAGAGGCCCGCTCAGAGAAGACAGGGACTGCCTGCAAGGGAGGCAGGTGAGCGAGGCTGGCTCCAGGCAGCCCGGCCCTGCTCCCCCCAGCCTGGCTGCCAGGAGCCCAGCAGGGCCGGTCCCCGCTGCTCTGAGACTTGGCTGGAGTCAACAGACCTGGGCTGAGTACCAGCTCAGCCCCTTCCTGACACCACTGCCTCTGCTGCTCCGAGCCTCAGCTTCTCACCCAATAAGTGGGGGACAACTTCTATCTCACGGGCTGCGGTGAGAACTCAGTGAGATAAGGCCCATCCTATAGCTGGCATCGACTGGCACGCAGTAGGTGCCCAACCCTGAGTTCTGCCTGCGTCCTCCAACCCTGCCCATCGGGACCATCTGGAGACCTGACTCTGCCTGGTGGAGACAGGCCCAACCTCAGGCGACCCTCTGGGGAGGCAGGGCAGTGCCCATGGGTGGGTGGGACCCTGCTCTGCCTGGCCCACGCACCACGACGCGATGGTGGCGCTGAGGGCCTCCAGGACGGCGGCGGCGGCCAGGCGCTGCTGGGGGTCGAGGACGAGCAGCTTCCGGATGAGACACACGGTGTTCTCAGAAACCCGGCCGTCCCTGACGCAGGAGAGAGGGGCAGCGGGGCACTCAGGCGGGGTGGGCTGGTGCTGGGTCCTGGGCCCAGGACGCCAAGCCTCACCATGTTGTTTCTACCCCTCAAGCCCGATGGGCCGGAGCCCAGGGAGGGAGGACTCACTCGGGGATGGTGTACTCGGCGGCCTTGATCTTGCGGAAGAGCTCCTGCGGGATGCTGTCGTAGAAGGGGAACTGGCCGTAGAGCATGGTGAACAGCACCACGCCCAGGGCCCACATGTCACTGGGCTTGCCCCGGTACGGCCGGCCTGCAGGGCACACAGACACACACGTGCTCAGCCCAGGGCTGGGGAAGAATGGCCCTGCACTCCCTCTTCCCTGGCACTCCCAGAAGTCCTACCCAGGGGAGCCCCCCTCCACCCCGGCACCCTCACTTCCAGTCACCCTCCTGTGCTTCCTCCCAGGGCAAGCCACACTGGCCCCGTCCCTGAGCTTCAGCCAGGTGCCTTCCTCCTTTATTCCTCGGGCTGGTTCCTGCTCGTGCTCTGGAGACCCGGCTGCATAGGAGGATGCCCCACCTCGGCGTGCTCCACGAGGAGAAGGGGTCTCACCTGGCCTTGTGCAGCCCACCCCTGGGGCAGGCCTCACACCGCCTCTCCCCAGCACCAGCTCTGCTCTGCTCTGCCGGGCTCCCAGGCGCTGGTCCAGCCCCATCAGCAGATGAGCTCACCTGGGAGCTCTAACCATCAGGCGATTTCTCCCTGAGCTCTGACTTTTGAGGGAACACTGAACTTCAGGATTTTGTTTTGATAATGACAATGCCGGCTATGGTTCATTGAGCCACACACTAGGTTAAGGGCTTATTTAATCCCACTGGGACCTAAGGAATTAGGGGCTATTATTATCCTGATTCCAGAGATGAGAGAGTAGAGGCCCAGAGAGGTCAGTACCATTCCAAGGTCACACAGGTATTGACCAGACCATGAACTGTGGGGGTAAGGCCATGCCTGCCATTTCATAGCCTCATAGGTCTGCGCTTAGCACACAGAATCAGTGAAAGGCAGACTTGAGACCAGAACCCACTTGAGTCACCCCACTTTGTCCTCTTAACAATGGGGGGAGGCAGGGCTGTTTTCAGCTTTTCACCCAGGAGGAGGCTGAAGCTCAGAGAAGGGGCTGACGGCCGAGGCACACAGCTGCGTCATTAACACGGCCAGTCCCAGGGCCTGCTCTCCGGTCTCCCGGCCCAGGTCTCTTTCTGAGGCGGGGGGTTCCTTTGTTTTATTCTCCAAGATTGCTATCTGTCTGCAGGAGCCAGAGAGAGAGGCCTCGGGCAGCAGGTGGGAGTGACTGCACATGGAGGCCACCCTGGCCTGGCTGCTGAGGAGACTCCACCAGAGGCAGCCCGCCCCACCCCTCTTCCCCCCAGTCACAGACCCCACCTGACAGCTCTGGGCTGAGGAAGGGGCCTGGGTCTTCCTCCTGGCTCTGTCACCTACAGGGAGGCCTTCCAGATGCTCATGCGGGGTGTATCCAGGCTGGGCTGTGGGGCAGGGGTGCTCAGGGGGCTGGGGTACCCTGACACCCAGATCCTTCTTGCAGAGGCCACCGTGACTCCAACCAACCCTGATCCCCAGGCCTGGGAGGCGGCACTACTGCCCTCTGCAATGGTTGTCCTGTCAGGCCTGGCGTTACAGCAGAACCCTCGGCTGGGAGGAGGCCTCCAAGGAGACTGCAGATGGTTGTGGCAAGTTAGAGTAGCCTGTTCCCCGGGAAGACAGGTGACAACTGTTACTGTGAGGAGGGAGGCACGTGTGAGTGCGGGGGATGACAGGCCCCGGAGACAACCCTGGAATCTTCACGATGGAGGGATGGCAGCGGGGGTGAGCCCTTGGAGCGATCAGGACAGAGCAACCTCAGTTTGGCAAAGGACAAGCAAGAAAGGAAAGAAAGCCTATGGTGAAACAGTTAGGAGCGAGGGTTTGGGCAGAAGGCAGCCCTGGCGGGGCGGGGGAAGCCTCATTTTCTGGTGAACTATTAACTGTGACTGTGAACAAGAGGTCTGGCCTCTCCGAGCCTCAATTTTCTCATCTGTAAAAATTCTACCTCATGGGGTAGCTGTGTGGTTTTAAACAGATGATGCCTGTCACATGGCTCAGTATAGCGTCCGGCACCAATGGTACGATCAGAAGGTGGCAGCTACATAATTGACTTGTTCTGGGTACCACTACCTGTCTCAGCCATGGAGGCAGGGTGTTTGTCTGCCTGTTCACTGCTGTATCTTAAGTGTCTCAAACAGAGCCTTGTACATGGCAGACCCTCAGTAAATACCAGCAGAGTAAATGGATGAACAAATAGACAAAGGGAGTGGTATCTTTGAGATGCAAGTCTCATCACAGTAACCTCCATGAAGACCTGTTCAAAGGCTTCCTTTCGGACTTGAAATAAAGGATGTTTCTTAATAGGGCCTCTGCCAGGCCTTGCATGGCTGGACCCCCACGCGTCTCCCCTTGAACTTTCTGAGCAGCAGCCTCAGGGGCCTTCAGTCGGTTCCTCAAATGTGTGGTGCCACCCCTGCCCAGGCACACCCCCTCCCCAGTGGGTTGCTATCATCCTCAAGATACAGCTCAAGGCCTTTGAGTGCCTATTTCTCACACTCACAGAAATCACTTTTCTGTCCTTCCGAGAACTAATCTCAGAGAATAATTAGTGTGATGACTGCTATCTTCCTCCATGAGACCCCACGTTTTGGTCCTGGATGGGAAGTACTGGTTTGGGTCACCACTGGAGCCCCAGCACCTCGCCCAGGGCACAGATACAGTCTGCTGCCTGAGTGAATGGCTGCAGAGCCTGACTGGGTGAGGGCCCCAGGGGCTGCTGCTGGCGCCAGGCACATACCACTGAGCACGTCTGGACTGATGTAGGCAGGGCTCCCCCGCTGGTCCTTCAACAGGTCCCCCTCGCTCACGAGATGCTTCCCGAGGCAGAAGTTGGTGATGGTTATCCGATGTGTCCTGGGGGGCGGGAGGCAGAAAGTGAACAAACCTCAGTGTTTGTACCCCCGGCTGCCCCCACCTCTCATCCCAGGGGCAGAGGAACCACACCGCATCCTCTTCGGTTCCCCTGGCCCTCCTCGTCTTCCCCGGGGCTGTGCGGGGAGTGCCATCGGGGGTGCAGACACAGGCCAGTCACCTGGGTTGATACCTGGTGAGTTGTCCCCACAGGGACCTGAGTCACACTGCCCAGGGAAGCTTCAGGGTACTTCCCTGAACCTGCGCCCTTCCTGAGTCCTGGGGCTACAGTTTAGGGTCTGGAACAACTGCGGAGATTTCTTCAAACAACCCCACATAGTATCTAGGTGGGGAGGGACTGTGGTGTAGTTCAGCTCCCTCATTCACCCACGAGAAGTCCAGCAGAGTCCTGGAGGCCTCCCTGAGGACCGCTTTGTCCCCCGGGGGCTGATTCCTTCGGTCATCACTCTTAGGATTAAGTACTATCACATTATCACTGACAATGCTAAACACTAATGCCTACTGAGGGCAGACCCTCATCTGGGCTTATGTGCCCAACAGGGGCTGTCTGCATTCATGCCTCACAGCAGCCCACGATGGAGGCTTTCTCACTGCCCACTTCACAGAGGATTCAGTGAGGACACCTGGAGAAGTGGAGGGGCTTGTCCAGGGTCACACAGCTAGTGAGCAGTGGAGCAGGGTCCAACCCAAGTCTGTGTGACCCCGGAGTCTGCATCGAGTGACACCGGGCAGGTGCCCACGGCGTCCCTGGCTGGTGCCCAGCCCCTGACTTTCCCTTCCGTTCCATCCAAGCTAACTCACCCCCTGTCTAGTACCTGAGACTCTGCACTGACTAGAAAACCAGAGACCCCCATCTGAGAGTTGTGGTGAGAGGAGCTTTGGGCTCAGATCCTTTCTAGGAAGTCACAACGAGAACAAAAGCTGTCGGCCCCTGGGGATGCGGGGTGGGGGTGTGGGGAGGCAGGGGCCTCTCCACCCACAGGCAAGCAAGGCCTCCTGCGGGCTCCCACATCAGCAGGCTGGGCAGGGAGGCCTGGGAGGACGGTGGAAAGGGAGGCTGCACCAGGGCCTCGCATGTGAGGCTCCCAGAGCCCTCCAGCTTTCTCGGGGAGTTCTGCTGGCAAGGGCTTGGGGCAAAAACAAAGGCTGCTCTGTCCCCTGCGTTCTAAATGGAAACGCTGACTCTCGCTCTCCACACAGGCCTGCCTTGGCACATGCCACAGAAACCAGCCTGGTGGCCCCCAGGGCGGCGAGATCCCGAGACAGGGGGTGGTGAAGGGTCTCGGGTGCAGGTCACTTCAAGAAGTAGAACTGCTCCCGCTTGGACCCACCCCCGTCACTGTCCTGAATACGGGACTGCTAAGCCCTCTTGTCCACGAGGGCCCCACAAAGAGGCATGCTGCCTTTTCTCCATGGTCAGAGCTGGCCATGGGACCTGGAAGCCCAAGACACTGGGAGGAGGACAACTCGGGGGACAGTCTGGTGGGCTTGGGAGTCAGATCTCTGGGTTCCAGTGTTGGCTCTGCCCCTGCCTGGCTGGGTGATCTTGGGCATGTTATTTAATTTCTTGCTAAACCTCAAATTTTCTCATCTGTAAAACAAGGAAAATATCAACACCTAACTCCCAGGGCTGTGTTAGGATTTAACAAGAAGAAGATCCCAGGGAAAGTGCTGAATCCAGGGCCTGACAACTAGTGACTGATGACCAGCAGCCAGCTGCGAGTACATTTCGTCCTCAGACGGGGGGCTCAGCTGGCGTGGGTTACCCTGGGAGACCCCTCGGAAGACAGTGTGCAGAGGCAGCGGGCGAGAGGAGCCACACTGTGACGACAGGCCCAGGCGGGCAGGTGCGCTCCTGGGCCTTCTCTCTCTGTCATCAGCCCTCCGCGCGCTGGGCTCGAGAAAAGTTCGGCTGAGCATCTGCAGGGCGGGCCAGCAGGGCCGAGTTGGAGCCTCTCCCACAGGAAACCGCACGGTCTGCTTCCAGCCCTCCCGACGCCTGGCCCCGCTCCCTGATCTGCCACCATCACTTTGGTCGGCGAGGCGCACAGATCATGGGAAGTCCAGACCCCCCAGGCTGGTCCTGGCAGGAGAGGCGAGGGTGGCAGGGGTGCAGGGAGGGGGACTCGCCGTCAGCAGGGCCTGCTGAGTGAGTCACCCTTTTGCTATGGCCCTCTGGGCTACCACACTGTGTCTCCTTTTCTAGGAAACTGGGTGTGCAAACGCACCCACGCGGAAAGAAAGGAGGATGGAGAAAGAACCCACAGTGAACCTCACGTAACCCCAAGAGAGGACTGTAACCCTTGCCCTTCATCCACAGCCAGGGAACTTGCTGTCGCAGTTGCCTTGCAAACCCTTCCCGTTCCCTCCCCTGGGAGCGATCCGTTCTGCTGGGGCCTTCCAGCTTGTCTGCTGCCCCTCCAGCTGGAGTGAGGGCCTGGCCTGATGGGCAGAAGGGACCTCTGCCAGGTCCACCCTTGACTCGCAAGGATGAGAGCAAGGCCCCAAGGCGGGGAGGGGTGTGCCGGTGGACACTTGGGAGTAGGAGCTGGGCGGTCAGCACGGGTCTCCGCAGCACCTCCCATGCCTTCCTGGCACCCATGACTCAAGCGAGAGGCGGCCAGGACCTCTGTCTGCCAAGACGAAGCAAAGGGATTATCGGATTGGAGAACGTGCTGCCAAGAACCCGGGTCTGATGAGGTGTGGGTGCTGCTCCGCAGCCCCAAGAAAACACGGCGATGGGTGTGCACGCACGCACGGAAGAGCTGCTACAGCGACGCTGGCACTGCTCAGACGGGGTGACCTTCCGACCACATTCTCAGCTCCTAGGGGCCCTGGAAAATGGGAGCCGGCCGCTAAACCACCAGTGGAGACAAAGAGGCCTGCGGCGCTGGTCTCGTTGGCACCGCAGGAGCCCGATGGCGCGCGCCCAAACGCACCCGTGGGAGTCAACGTCCCTCAGCAGGCCGGGACCCAGCCCACCATCGCGAAGACACTGTGCCCCCAGGGCTGGGGTGGTCTGCGCCCTCCGGCACCGCCGAGCTGCGGCCGGGGCACCGCGGGACCTCCTTGCCGGCCACTCACCACATAGTGCGCCTCGTCTCCAGAGGGAGGGGGCGTCAGGCCTGCAGCCTGGCTGGCTCCCGTCAGGAACGCTCATGAGGGGCTGAACCCTGTAGGTGGTCTCATGTCTGAGCCAGTATTTGCATGCATGCATGCTAAAGTTGCTTCCATCATGTCTGACTCTTTGCAACCCCTTGGATTATAGCCCACCACGCTCCTCTGTCCATGGGGTTTTCCAGACAAGAATATTGGAATGGGTTGCCATGCCCTTCTCCAGGGGAATCTTCCCAACCTAGGGATCAAACCCGTGTCTCTTATGTCTCCTGCAATGGCAAGTGGGTTCTTTACCACTAGCGCACCTGGGAAGCCCAGTGTCTGCAGGAAAGCGTAATCATCTCTGCTTCCACAGACGATGCAGAAACTCAAAGTGCCTGGTTCCACAGCAGCTTCTCAATACATGACTAAAGGAACGGTGAATAATCACAGGGACGGGTGCTCACGGCCTCGAGGGTAAATCAAGTGGCAGTGCTATGCTGGGGGCCAGGTGTGACCCCCGGGGCCGCTCCTCCTGGGTTTCTAACCCTGTCTCGGCCACTCAAGGATTCACTCGGCCTTGGAACTCCCACCTTCCCTCCTCCCCGCGCAGCTCCCAGGATCAGGTTTTCACCACTGTTTTCTTAGGCTGGCAAACCTTTGGGAACTGAGATGGCTAGAGTCTTGGCCCCTCTGTCCTCTGCACACTGGCCTCAATACAGTGACACCTGCTCCCCAGTTGCCCCCACCAGGCGGTGAGCTCCAGGAGACCGTCTGCGGCGCCAGCGCCGGGTGGGGCTAGAGACAGGCTGTGTACGAAGGGGCATCTGGGGTTGGCATGGCCAGGTCTGGTGCCCCAGGCCCCTCCCCAGAGCTCCTTTTCCTGTGACCACCGCGGCTTTGGCCACTTCATAGGGATAGTGGGCCCAGGCTGCTATGGGATGGGCGCCGACATTCTGGACAGATCCCCCACCATGCCACTTCTGCCACAAGGGGTGTGCGACCCACCATCTGTAAGCTCTCTGACCCACCCTAACACCGGGAGTGAGAGAGGTGAGGGTGAGAGGCTCAGGGAGATTGGGGGACCACGTTTCTAGGATCCTGGTGACACACGCCGGTCCTGGGCCCTTGCATGGCTGGTGCATCCTCTACCACGGCCCCAGATCAGGGGTCCCCAAGCCCTGGACCGGTGGTGATCCGTGACCTCCTAGCAAGCAGGAGGCGAGTGGTGGGTGGAACTGAAGTCACCCCCTATGCCCGTCTGTGGAAAAGAGTGTCTTCCACGACCTGGTCCTGGTGCCATAGAGGCGGGGGGACCACTGCCCCAGGTCACTAGGAGGGGCCCAGACCCTCTGCCTGAGTGGGATGAGAGCCTGGGGCGGGGTCTCACATGATGTCCCTCTGCCGCTGGCTCCCTGAGGATGCCGGGGTGAGCTGCCCGGACCCCCTCCAGTAGGGAGGTGCTCTGTCCCTGCTGCTAGGAAAGTCATCCTTTTCCAGGAAGTCCTCTCAGCCAAAGGAAGCTGCCCTGCCCAAAGCTATGACCCTGGGCACAGCCTGCAATTCAGTGGCATGCTGCAGTCGGGGTACAGGGCCACGTGCCCCCTGACTGGATGCGGAACCTCTGAAGGGCCACCTGGCTTTCCAGGCTGAGGCCCTGTCATGACTGCCCAGAGTTCAGCTTCTCCCTCAGCCCAATCTCACCCCCTCCTCCCCGAGCGTGCGCCCCAGGAAACTTCCTGCATGCACATCTCAGAGTCTGTTTCCTGGGAACCTGTCCAGCCTTGCTTTGCTCATCTGTCATTCCATCACCCGTTGGTCTATTTTTTATAGTCATTTACTGGGCACCCACTGGGCATGACAAATGAATGGACTAGGGAGACTGCTGAAATCCTTCCCAAGGCTCCCGTTCTGAGCAAGCACCATATTCCCCTGCGGCAAAGGACAGAAGCAAGCATCCCATTCCCCAGCCCCCGGGGCTTCTGGGGGAGGTGGGCTATGCGGAGTCAGAATCCCCATGGGGACGCTGGGGCTCTGGGCAGATGCAGTGCGTAGCCTGTCCCAGCCCTGAGGTTCCATCGTGAAAAAGAAAAGTGAAGCTTACCTCTTATTGAGCACCATGTTCCCTAGCTTCAGGTCTCTGTGCACGATGTTTTTCTGGAAAACAACAGGCATGTGGTTTGTACTGTGACGATCAGAGCCAAAGCGGCGCCCGGCCTGTAAGAGGCGGGCTCTCCAGGTGTTGGGGAAGACACACCTCTTTAGGTCTGGGACTCAATTTGCAAGCCTCGGACAGATGAAGACCACCCTAAGGCCTCATTAAACATGTGCATGAACTGGGCAACATGTGAGCCCAGGCTGTCTTGGCCCCATCTACGGCGTTTACTCCGGTTCTTTCTCCCCCTAAGACAGCCGGCAACGGAGAAAACCACTCCTCTCTCTGCCTCTATCAGACATCCCATAAAAAAAGCAAACCCTGCTCCCTCCCACCAAATCCCAAGCACCTGCCTAGGTCTGGGGTCAGAGGTGAATTCTCTCAGTTCTGATGATGAGTATCGCAGGCTCAGCCCCACAGAAGCCGTGTGTCCGAAGGCAGCCCAGGCTCTCCTAACCTGTGCCTCGGGGTTCCTGACACCCCCGACTCTAGGAAAGGCTCAGAGACAGGCTGTGGCTGCCGCCGGTGGGTGTCTCACCCCTAGCCTCTCAACTGATGAGCATTACTCTGCTGGATTCTGCTGGGCGGCCCACACGTCCCAGGATCCAGGCGTGCCATCCAGCCGCGTTCCTTCTGGACGTCCCAGCTGCAGAGCACGCTGGGCGAGGGCGGGGCAGCGCTGCAGCTGTCAGCAGCAGCGGGGTGGCTTTCCATGGAGAGGAGGCAGGAGCCGCGGGGCGGGGCCTCACCTGGTGTAGGGCCTCCACCACGCGCACCACGTCGTAGAAGATGACCACGGTCTCCCGCTCGCTGAGCCTCTTCTCTTTGATAACGTAATGCTGCAGGTTGATCAGGTCGGCCGTCTTGTCGCTGAAGTCGTGCGCGCAGAGGCAGTCGAGGACGAGGCAGATGCGCTTCTTCATCTTCTTAACCATTCGGCTGGATTCTGTGTCCTCAACCACTTCACAGGTGCGGTCCTGGGAGGAAGGGCGCAGACCGGGGCTTGGCCGTGGGCCCAGCAGGGCCAGGGCCAGGGGCTTGGGGCTCTACTGGAGCCTGGAACAAGCCCGCATGTGAGTGGTAGGGGCCTGACATCTGGGCGGCATGGACCCCGCAGCCCTGCTTCCCCTGCACCACTGCTAGGCCCAGACAGGGCCCAGGCTGAAGCAGCGCGGGTCAGGCTTCAGGATCCGGTCCTGCTGCAAAGCGTATGGCTCAGGGCTTGGCACCGAGAGCCCAGTGTGCTGGCAGCCCTCTGAGCGCCGTGTGAGGGCAGCACCCTCAGGTGCTCCCCCTTAGCTCTCCCAGAGTCCAGCAATGACCGATGCAAACTTCCGTCCGATGTCCACGATGGTGGGAGCTAAGAGTTCTGTGTGTTCAAGGCAACTGCTTTCACATGGATGCAGGATTCCTGGGCCATACAATGGAGTTGGCCCCTGATGGCTGGTTTCAGGCCCTGGCTCCTCCTCGTCCTAGCTGCAGGACCTGGGGCAGTTCAGCTAACCTCTCCAAGTTCCTGGTTCCTCATGTGTGAAGGGGGGCCGGCAACTTCTACCTCACAGGGTGTAGAGAGAAAAGACAACCATGCCAAGTGTATAGTAAGCACTTGGGCTTGGTGTCGATAAGCCAGGGCTTGGTAAGCTGACACTGCTACCAACCCTAAGGGTGGTAGTTCTGGATGCATTTTCCTTGCTAAAAAAGTATGTCACGGGAGAGGAAACACAGTGCAACATGAGGACTTTTACCCCACCAGCTTGAGGAGGCCTCCGGGCCAGCACAGCAGGCTGGGGGACTCCTGGGGACGAACTCTGTATTCCTCCTCCAGGGCAGATCATACCTCTCATTCTGTCTTCCCTGGAGGCCCAGCCCAGTGTCTGGTACACAGAGGACTCTAGAGAGGCTTCTCACCACTCAGGGTCTCTTATCCAAAATGTCAGACACCAAGGCCAAGCTCTGGAAGCTACCGAGATGAAATACTAAGAAATCATCATCACCCCCCATTTGATTTCATGTTTAAGGGACACAAATTTTCAGAGGTCCCTTTCAGTGCACATCTAAGAATGAAGACCTTGGTGGGGTCTATGTGTGGCAGTGGGAGACATTTCCCACTTATTTTACCTCAAGAAGTCAAGCCAACAAGGAGCTTTTATTGCCTGAAATAACAGCAGTGATGAGAATGTGTGTAGCTGGACAGCTCAGGGCGTTCTACCTTCTCATTCATCCTCCCAGCACCATGCAAGGTGGGCACAGTAATCACGGCTCTCAGACGAGGGATCTGAGGCTCGGGAAGTGACTTGCCCGAGGTTACATCACCTGAATTCAGACCTGCCTGCTTCAAAACCTGTGTGCCTTCCCTGACACCAGGCCCATCCAAGCACGCGTGTGCCTGGCCAGCGTACCGAAGGCAGTGCAGAAGCTCTGTGGGGGCTGTCAACAGGACCCACTCCCCCAGCATTCAGAGTGCTGGTTCTTCGTTTCATTTTTGGAGACGTAATTTCAGTTCTGTTCCAGGGAAGGCTCTTTTCAGGGTACCAATCGCTAATCAGTACCTTTCCTAAGGGACCTGGGACATCCGAGCCCAGGGCCCAGGGACCCTTGCTGCAGATGCTGAAATGCCCAGGCAGGCAGCAGGACTGGTACCAAAAGCAATCACGGAGATCCACAATTCCCTGCGCCACCTTCCTAATCGCCCTCCCTCCCACCCTGGCCTGGCCGATTCCTGACCACATAGCTAGAAAGAGCCCGTGTCTTTAAATAACTTCCTGCTTTCCTCTTTTCTCGGAAAAGCGGCTCTTCAAAGAAAGCCTGCAAGCGGGGTGCATTCCCGCTAGGCTGCCACCAACACGGCAGGAGCGCTGTGCTGACCAGACCTCCAGGCTGCCTGCCAGGAAGCCCTGCTGCTCTGCATGCAGGGAGACTGGGGGAGCTCGTGCACCGTGGCCCCAGCAGCGCCAGCCGGGGTGGGGGCGGGAGAGGCGCCACTCACCTGGAAGAGCCCGTGGTGGTGAACCACCCCGTCCTGCGTGTGGAGGAGGGAGAGCAGCGAGTACTCGGTGTGCAGCAGCATCTTGCCTTGCCTCTCCTCTTGGCTTTCAATTCCTTGGTCGCCCCTCTCCTCAAGGGTAAGGATCTTAGGAAGGCACGCACACAAAAGCAAAACCCCAGAACCTTTACTTTTCCAAGCAGAGTGACTAGAACAGGAGAAGCAGGGGTTCACGTCTTCCCATGCCACCCCGGCACATCCACCCACACGTGTGTGGATGAAGCGAAATGGTTTTTCCCGACGTGATGGCAATGTGAGGTTCACACGGAGCCCCCGGGAAGAAGTGGTGCTGCTCTTGTTCACAGGTGGTGCAGATGGTGGGCGCAGGGACGAGCCAGGCAGGCAGGAGGGCCCTGGGGTCCCCACCCCCACGCCCTGTGCCTCACTTACCTTCAGCTGATAGAAGTCATCTGTGCCATCCTTCCTCGCCAAACACTGCACGATGCTTGGCACCGGTGAGTTGCCCAGACGGGGACCTGTGGCACAGACAAGCCACTGGCTTTACTTCTCGGGAGCCCTGTCCACCATGGCGCCGAGCCATCATGCCACCACGGGGGCTTCTGGTTAGATCTTTTCTCCTAGAGGACACCATGGCTCACACCCACTGAAAAAAAGGTCACCCCTCCAAAAGTGCAGCAGTGTGTGTGCATGTCTGAGCACATCTGGTTTTTATACCTTCTCAGCACGAGGTGTATACTAGAATCTCCGAGGAGCATGTGTTAAAAGCAGTTCCCAGCTGCAACCTGGGCCCTCTGAATCACCAGCTCCAGGGTGAGCCAGGAAACCATCCCTTGAACAGGCTCCCCTGGTGGTCTGCTGTGGCCGTATATCAGCTTTTGGGAACTTCTGTACTCCTGGAGATGTACGCTGCTCACTGGTCTGTGACAGCGCCCCGAGCTTTTGGAGCATCAATCAGGTAATGAGTGTCACAGTCTCACTGCATTGCTGAAAAACCTGAACAACACTCCACTGCTTTTAATAAGAAATTGAAACTTTCTGGCCTCCAAGGTCTTACATGATTTGGTTCCTGTCCAGCTTTCAATGGATCATGTCTCCCCAACCCCTCCTCACCACACTCCAGCTCTGCTGGACACTAATTCCTGAGATGTTAAGCCCTTCCCCGTCTCTGGGCCTTGGCACTCGCTGTCCCTTCTGTTGGGAATGCCTTCCCTCTGCTTTTCACATGGCTGCTCCTTCTTATCCTTGGCTGTCAGAGCCAACCTCACTTCCTCATACAGAACCTTCCTTGTCTACCGTTGTCTCTGGGCCCTTCTTAGACTCACATCATCCTGTTTACTTCCTTCAGGGCCCTTCCCCCTTCCCCCCTGCTCCTGTGGTGATCACGTGTGTTGTTTACTCTTTCCTTTTCTAACTAGAATGTTAAGTTCTGTGAGGGCAGGAACTTGTCTTTTTTTTTTTTAACTTTATGGTCTTTATTTTTAGCTTTAGAGTGTCTCCAACCTTCCTGCCCAATTTTTTTTTTTTTTTTCTGTGCCTGGAGGTGTGTGGGATGCAGGATCTTAGTTTCCTGCCCAGGGATTGAACCCATGCCCCCTGCAGTGGAAGCACAGAGTCCCAAGCACTGGACCACCAGGAAGCTCCCCAGTAACTTGTCTGTCTTAATCACTGCTGCATCCCTGATAAACAGCACAGGACCAGAACGTAGCAGGCTCCGTGTACTATTTGCCGAGTGACTGGAGCTGGAACTATCCTGTACTCCTAAGTTCAAGATGCTGTGCCAAAGCAAAATTCACACCCACTCTCTGGCTGCTGGGAATGTTGGGGTCCTCAAGACCCACCCTACCTGCAACCCTACGCATGCAGTCCGGAGTTGCTGGGCCTCGAATATCATGCAGAAAGGCCCTGCTGCTCCTCCGGACCACTGGGAACACCCAGTTCTACAGGATTTTGGTGCCAATTTTATAAGAAGTTTGCAGCTGTACCAAACGTTTTGCAAAATTATTATGCCCTCCATGAATGGTCAGAGAAGCGCCTTGAAAGATGGACTTTGGGTTCTAGGACAGCTTGTATGCTTCCTGAGGGCAACGTCCTGGGGGCACGCATAGGACTCTCCTGGGGGAGACTGTCCAGCTCTCAGCTGACTCTAATCTAAGGCTGGTGAGCTACAACTGAAATGACAGCTCCTGGTGCAGAGCAACCTTCCACTCTCATAAACAGACTCTGCTTAAACCAACAGAGGGTTGGTCAGGGCCCCGCACTGGGGCGGGTGCAGCGCGGCACTGTGTGTGTCCGCAGGTCAGACTGGGCTGCCCCGGCCCCCCACTCACCTAGCCATCAGAGGCTTACCCAGGATGAATGGTCCAGCTCTCTTGGCATTATTTCCAGAAATCCCACTTCCTAGAGCCTTCGCCCTGGCCGACGTTTCCCCAGCTCCTCTGTCTGATGCTCTCCGCTTCATTCTCAGCTCTAGATGAGACAGAAAAGAGCCTTCTCACTGAGCAAATCAGCGAGCTTCCTTACGCTAACCCAGCCTGCGAGGCTCTGACTTGGGGGTGTGTCACAGAACGGCTGCTGCTGTTTCCGTGGCCGCAGTCACCTCCTGCCCCTTCCAGAGTAGCATGGAAGGTTCTCGGTAACAAAGAATCATGGCTCCTTTTCTGCGGATTAATTAGGTGCTCCAGGTGGAGGTCCTGGCTACAGAGTGGGCAGCTGGCCCGCCTCAAAGGGTCCATTCAGGTGCAGAGAGAAGGACACTGACTTCTGTGTAGATGCCAACTGGGCTTTCTTGAGACAGAGAGCTGTCCCTGGAGCGACTGTTTTTGAAGTGAGGTGAAAAAAGTGAAAATGTTAGTCGCTCAGTCATATCTGACTCTGCGACCTCGTGGACTGCAGCCCACCAGGTTCATCTGTCTATGGAATTCTTCAGGCAAGAGTACTGGAGTGGGCTGCCATTCCCTTCTCCAGGGGATCTTCCCGACCCAGGGATGGAATCCGGGTCTGCTGCACTGCAGGCGGATTCTTTGCCATCTAAGCCACCAGGCCTTCCCCCCAAATACCCCTTTCCCCTAAAAGGAAAGGGGACATGGGAACCAGATTCTAGAAGACATTAACCTCTCGACTTGGATTTAAAAAAACAAAAAGGAGTTGCTCCTTCTAGCTCTCTGCAGTTCACCCCTCAGGAAGACAGTGTCCTGGAGGTGGGGCGGGGAAAGGTGTAAACAGTGGAGTTCCCACACAGGAGGGAATGGTCCCAGGGATGCCCAGGAAAGGCTGCCTGCCCAGCCCTGAGACCTCGGGCCCAGAGTGGGTGCACTTCCCTGAGGAGGTGATGCTGGAGTGGGCGAGAAGCAAGGTCATTCCACAAAGAGGGGCCTGGGTGTGCAAACGTACATAGCAAGAAATGGCATGGAAGCAACATACTTCAAGCAGTCTGTGTTGCTGGAGTGTATGGCATGAGGCAGGGAGTGGTGATAGAGGGCCCAGAGAGGCCAGCAAGGGCCAGATCTAAGGGACCTAAAGGCCACGTCAGGAGTGCAGGCTTCACTGTTACACAGATGGCTTGGGAACACTGAACCTAAGCTTCTATAATTTTTTCTTTTTAAAAAAGTCACTGGCATTTCCTGCAGAAACACTAGAAAATACCCATAATATTACCATCGAAATATAATCATTGTTAATATTCAATCAGACTTTCCTGTGTGTGTGTGTGTGTGTGTATGCTCACAGTTCTGGTTATTACGAAAACTTAGAGCACACTGTGACACCATTTCTAAGTGTCCTTGTCTCCCACCTAAAATATATCAGTATGATGAGGGTAAATTTTATGGTACATGTAATATATCTCAATAAAGTCATAAAAAAAAATCTTATTAACATTCCTCCATCTTCTGTAGCATCACTTGAAAGAGTCTCCTTGGTAAGAATATGTCATAATTTATCAGACCACATGCCTATTCACAGACTTTGAGATTCTCTCCACTTTTTATATTTTTTTTATTAGCAGTTATAAACATAACATCTTGGCATAACCGCCTCCCTCAGGATAAACTCCAAGAATGGTCAAATGGGGTGCATATTTTTAAAGATGTGTGACAAACACTACCAGGCTGCTCTCAGGGAGGCTGTGCTGATTTATAGACCATCGGACAGTATGGGAGAGTAAATCCTAGAACCTGCATCAGGAAGGAGCATTTCCATATTTTAAAAAGCTGCCAATCTCATGAATATTAAAACGCATATTATTGTTTAAATTTGTAATTGCTTAATTATTCATGAAGTTGGACTTGTTTGACACACTTACTGGTTATATGCAGTATTTCTTTTATGAATTTCAAGTTCATATTCTTTTCCTTTTTTTTTTGTTTTAACTGCTTTGTGTGTATTAGTCTTGGTGATTTTTTAGGAATTCTATATATTAAGGCTATAACTGCCATAGGATGCAGCTTTTCTTAATCAGATAGTTTTCTTTTCCTTTAGTTCGTTTTTGCCATTATTCGTAGAAGGTGCTCCTACTCTGAGAACCGGTGCATCTTCACTAGTTAGCTTGTATCTCTTCACATGCTGCCATTCTGGCCTCTGGCCCTTATCCTAAACCCCAGGAGACTGACTCCATGCAGTGAACTGGCACCTGGGAGAGACAGCCCAATGTCCTTCTGGTCCAATCTACCAGATTTGCCTCTCATCCAGCCCCTAATTCATTTCCAGAGCGGTGCCACTGAGGAGCAGACCCATGATTTCACTGAGAGTAACGAGGATCAGGTAGTTCAGTAGGTTCTAACAGTCCCAGACAGAGCAGAAGCTATGGTCAGGCTCAGCTATGACCACTGCCAACAAGGGTCATGCTGGCAGCAGATTCAGTCACTCACACAAGAGCAGGGGGAGAACACAACTGCTTCTAGAAAAATCCTAAAAAGCTCAACAGTAATGTGTCTAGAACACCATTCCTACCCTTTGCCTGGCTAATTTCTGTGCATCGTTCTCAATTTGAGTATCACTTCCTCAGAGAAGCCGTCTTGATATCCACAACACCAACGGGTCACAGTCTCATTTGGTATCCTGTAGTTTTCATACAAAGAACTTTCCTTATTTTGTGATTATATATTTATCTGTGTGCTCATATGCTTAATGTCTTTCCCCTAGCACTAGACTAAAACTCCCTCAGAATTAGGAAAAAAGAAAAAAAAAAAAGTACATAAAACCATTACCCCCCATGCCAGGCCCAGTAGATGCTCTATGGGTGGCTGGACACCTTCCCTGCAGTAGCTGATGGCTCCTACGGGGTCAGCTGCCCTGTCCTGGTAGATGAGTTGATTTCAGTACATCCTGGCCCTATTCCCTGGCTTCCCTGGAGCACTAAGCATCCTCTCTCCTCCTGGATCCTTGGAGAGCACCACTATGGCGTCATCGTATCTGTGTAGATGCTGCCTAGGCGCCCACGCGCAGGCATGGTCTAGACAACAGTTTGCCGGGAGCAGCTGCAGCAGACAGTGAGTGGGCTCCGCCTGACCCCACCCACCCCACTAAGGATTCAACTCAAGCAAATGGCATGGGAATTGCTCCAAGATGTAGGCAGACAGAAGGATGAGAGCAGACGGGCAGGGAGAGGGAAAAGATGCTGGCAGGGGAAGTGGCAGCAAGGCTGCTTCCCTTCCTGAACGTTCCTTCACACCACCAGAGCTGCGGAGGCAATGGATGCAGTGTGAGGGGGTAGGTCTGGGCAATCGGAAGCTGTGGTGGGCTCGCTGGTGGGATGAGCAGAGACAAACCCCCCTGGGGACACACCCTCCTGTCTCCTGCCCCCAAATCATCCTGCTGTGTCCCCTTCACAGACATACCTGAAAATGGCCCACTGATGTGCCCAAAGGGAGCCTGCTTCAAGGGATCCTGGCCTCACAGTGAAAGTGTGATGTGGGAGCTCTGAGTACCCTGGTTTCAAAAGGACTTGGGGCCAGGCCTCTACTGAGACACTCCTCAGGCCGGAGTGAAGGGCCCTGACCCTGCCTGGCTATGAGGGAGGTGTCTGCCTGGTGTCTCCTGGACCCATGGCTCAGCTTGCCAGAACTCAGCAGGCCTGATATAGAAGTCTCTGGAGCTTTAAGTCCATCCATTCTTCCAGGGCAATCCTCCCAGGTCAGCACCAGTTCCCTCAGAACCCAGAATCAGCAGACAGCTCTGCGGGGCAAAAGAGGGTGAGGGGGAGGCATGCCCGCCACCTGTAGGCTGCTCTGCTCAACCCTCAAGTTGGGGGTTCCCTTCGCCTGACCTAGGGAGCAAGCTGTGGGCATCAGCTCTGTGCTCACATCACAGCATACCCAGAGGAGGCGATGCCCACCCCACCCTGCTCGTTTGCCATGAAGGTCATCCTGTCCCAAAGCTGCTGGGCGATGTGAGCCCAGCTCTCCCAGAAGGCAATGAAGGCTGGGCCATCGGCACCACCCAAGGTTCTAAGGCCCAGGATGCCCAGTCCAGGGCTGCAGTGTGCCCTATGGCAGACCATGGCTCAACACGGTGGGCATGCCACCAACCCCCCAAGGAGGTAGACTGCAAAGAGAGAGGGTACTGAGACCTTCCCAGCTCAGTCCTTCTTCAGCTCCACCCAACTACAAGGCAGCTGAAGCCTGGCTGAGGCAAGGAGAGGCCTATCACTCACACCCAGAAGCATCCCCACCGGTCTCCATGCGGGTGCGTGGATGCAGTCCCGGGAGATGGCCACTCACACACGCACAGAGCCAGCGCGAGTGCCCAGCCCCACAAACACGAGGGGCAGCACAGGGCCTGTCCACATGTGCAGAGTTCTGCACTCAGCCTTGTGGTAGGCTTCCTGCTGCAACCTCAGGGCTCCTGGAGAGGTGGGGGACCCTGCAGACCGAACCAGGGCAGGCAGAGTGCACAGGTGGTCCCTGCAATGAGCAAACAGCAGACCCCAGCCCAGTGAACCACTTCCGTGTGTGCATGTGTGTGATGACACCACAGCTGGTGGCCATGATCGGTCAGCAGCTTCTAATGCCTGCTAGGAGCCGAAGGACTTGTCTACACTGCAGGGTCACATTGAGCTGATAGTGTCAGGACTCAAGCTGTCCCTATCCCCACCCCCATGTTTCCTGGCTCTGTCAAAACAAAACAAATAAAAAGATCCTGAGCTGTACAGGCCTCTGTCTTCTGGGCTTTATCTCTGGCAGTGCCTACTGAAGGCAGGGACCCTGCCCCTCTGTGAAGCCCACCTGGCCCCTGGAAGTCAGCATAGGTGCTCCCACCCATCTCTGGCTTCAGCCCTAGTTGCCACACATGTGTCAAGGGTCTGCATGGCCACACCCACAACAGACGCCAGGAAGGAGGTAGAAGAGGGTCTCTGTTTACAGGACGCTCAGGTGGCAGAATAATGTGGTCAGAGTAATGCGTCTCAGTCGATTCCATGCCATAGCACAGACAGAAACACCTGTACTACAGCACTTGTAGGTG